CACTTTCCTTCAAATAGTCAATCTAATTAGCTTTATTTACTTGTATAACAAGAGGTTATTCCAGAATAAGAAAACCACTATTATAAAAAGTTCATCTTACAGACAAACATGAGGCATGAATGATATATGTCCAAAAACTATATTAGTTAACTTTAAATCCATTGTAAGTAAATTATGTGGTTTATTTCAAATTAGTAAATGAAAATAATAAAAAAATAAACAAGTGAATAAATTAATACATTTATTAAATAATAAAATGTACATGTTTACAAATTACACTAATAGGATGGCATTAAATGAAAGAAAATCAAAAATAAAGTAAAAAAAATGGTTTAGTTAAAAAAAGAGAAAAATAAAGAAAAAAAGAATGATGAAAACAGAAAAAACAGATCTTTTTCTCAGCTAAATTTATAACAACTAGGCCTATAAACTTCTTAACAGCAGATCTAACGATATGATGAAATAAATGTTATGAAAATATGTAAGAAAAAACACAACACCACTAAATATTAAAGCTTCTAGTAAAGAAAATAAACCCCTATCAAATACAAGTAAAATTTTAGACTGGTTTTTCAGCCCAAATATAAAGTGTGTGTATCAGTCTGTGCACCAACAAGTCAAATATGTTTATTAGAATAACTTGTGTACTTAAATTATATAAGTACATATATAGTTTATTTTTTAATGATAATTTTAGAATAATGACAAAAGAATAAGAATTTAAGAATAATAACAAAATTATTTGCTTTTTTTATCAAGAATATTCTGATGATATAAATATTAACTAGATTAAAGGATTTCAAACAATGTCGAGAAAATATTATAAAATTTGTTTCACATTTGCTTACAAAACAACATGACTTTTCAAAACAATCTCTTGAATAACATAAAATAATCATGGTTATTAATCAAAGAACTTTCTTTTCTTGTTTTGTTTTCACATTAATGTCAAACTTCATTTTGGGGACCTAGACTAGGTGCTTGAAGTAACACCAGATGACTGAGCTGGTACTTTGGTTTCGTAGCCAGTTATAGCATCAAAGTGCATTGTGGGTGTCAAAAGATAATCTCACCACTGATGGGATTCAAACCGGTTACGACTCGTAATGCTCTAGCCCAACACCAGTCCTCCTTCAATAAATGAAGAAATCTTTTCTTTTTCAATGAGAGTTCAGTTATAGGGAAAATATAAAATTACATGTATATAGGGAAAATAGAAAATTACATGTATATTATTTAATCTTTGCAAATAGGAAAATGCATTTATACACCAAAGCCCGAAAATATGTTAAAATGTATATATAAAACATATTAATATCAGTAAAACATTTGTTCAACTTACTTGATAGACACTTAAATAACTATTTAACAATAACGTAAACATCAAAACAAATAAAGCAAAACAAAAATTCTGGAAAAAAAGAGAAGAAAATTCAAAATATATAAGTCAAACATATCACATCTGTTAATGTTTTGCACAAAAATTGATAAATACATTTCCCTGCCAGCTGATAATTTCACCATATTGTTTTTCACAAACAAGTTTATTTTACTTTTTACTATTATTTTGGATATTTCAATATGCATACATAAGCTGTTTCAATCATATTTTTGATTCCTATTGTCTTAAAGATTGATCACTTTTTACTAAATTATTTTGTTCATCCCTTAAGCTATTCTGGGTGCAGATCCAGGATTTTATAACACGGGATTCACGAAATGTTGACAAAGGGGTAATGCATATATAAGAGGGGGGCCTGGCATTTTAAAAAATTTTCATATCCCCCACCTCCGCTTAACAACTCCCCCTGGATCTATGTATGTATGTTATCATAAAAGCAAACAGATAATGTTAAGTTCTAGCACAATGAAAAGTTTACAACACTCCATAATCAGATATTACAAACAACAAATGTTGACATTTTAAAACTGTGACATGGTTTTATGACATTTTTTGTTTAGCATGTTTTGTGACATTATTGTTTTGCATGTTTTATGACATTATTGTTTGCATATTTTATATGAAACTTGACAGAAGGTAATTTTTAATTTACTACCCAGTTACTAACCAAGCAAGGACTAATTTAACATTATAATAGCAGGTGTCCTACACTAGCTCAAACACTACACAAAAAGTTTATTTTAGTATTTTTAAAAAGAAAAAACTTGTCAATTTTCACAAAAATTATTAGAAATGTGGAAACAAACTACTTAAAAGCTGTCAAAGACAAGAAAACTTATAAAATAATTAATTCCATGTAAAGTTCCAGAATAAATATGATATCTTAAACATTATAATTTAGGGGAGGGCTGTTGCTAATGTTGTTATAATTTGAAGCCCGACTACATTGGCACTATATCTCTGTGAATATTTGTTTTTGTATTATTCATATAACCATTACATCTATTTACGTATAGAATATATACACATACAATATTATTTAAACTAAATTATTAACATATCCTACATTTATATTTGATTATACCAAGTTGTGTGTATCACCTGAACCAGGATAAAATTCTATTTCAACAGGAGTGTCTGTCAATACTATAATAGATTCTTACTTGTAGCACAAGACAGTCTACTTCCTGGTATATATTTTAAATTGATGGTTAATAGAAATTACAAGTTCTACCATTTTCTTATTTTGTGTGTTACAAATAGCAAACATAATAATACATGTATAAACTACTCATCAGCGGTGTAGCTTCGCGGGCCGTGTAGGTCAAGACCTATACCCTTGTTATCCAAAAAATGAGAGAGAAAAATGTAGTTTTTGTGTCCCTGCAACTGAAATATCATGAAAGCATGCAGATAAATGAATGTTGCTGTACTAGTCTAATATGAGTTTATATATCATACAAATACAGGAATGTACATTAACAACACAGCCGTGTACACACATATGTGTTATATGTGTGGTGTAAAGAAATCAATAAATGGTGTAGTGGATAAAAAATGAAATAAATAGAAAAATGGACAGAGTTATGTTTACTTTAAGGCAACTGAGGGTCTAATAATAAACATGGCACTACAAGAAAATTACTCTAAAAAATCCCCTTTCCTTCATTAAAAAAAAATCTATTGTAAATCTAAATAAATAAATTAATAAATAAATAACCTAATTTCATTAATTTTTGTCCTATAATAAATTGGTTTAAAATAATATTGAATTTTTATCTATTTCGGACTTACTGAGATTTCTTTAAACTCTAGAAAAACCCATCTTGCTTAGTTAGTATAATTTACCATGAATGCCCATCTATAAAACATAAAATGGGGTTTAATTTACAGTACTATTATAATATAGGAAAAGTAGTAACACTGAATAAAATGCTCAAAATTTATAGTATTGGCTTTTCTTCGGCCTTCCCAGGAATAGAATTAACGTTAACAGTTAACAAAAGAAAAAACAAATAATCTTCCATTTCACACAATTAACTACTGAAGATTTAAGCTCAGTAAATCTATAAATATTGACATTTATGTCATTAAAATTATAATATTTATTAATTTTCATTTAATTTTTTAATAACGTTGAACAGATCACAGAATAGTTTTTTATCGGAGACAAAATATCACCGGAAAAGCATCTCAAGACTTTCGCCTCGTAATTAGATGCATTCACCAGCATTTTGTAAGGTAGATCCTTGAACAAGAGTACCCTTTGTCCTTAGTTGACGGGGATTATAAGAGAGAGAGATATACCAAGTGGTTATAATCTAAATGAGCCGCGTCATGACAAAACCAACATAGTGCGTTTGCGACCAGCATGGATCCAGACCAGCCTGCGCATCCGCGCAGTCTGATCAGGATCCATACTGTTCGCTTACAAACCCTATAACAAGTAAAGAAACTGGTAGCGAACAGCATGGATTCTGATCAGACTGCGCGGATGCGCAGGCTGGTCTGGATCCATGCTGGTCACAAACGCACTATGTTGGTTTTGTCATGACGCGACTCAAATGGTGATATGAAAAGTTATGAATGTAAGTATTTATAATGTTATTATATATTATTTGAAAACTATGTTTTATCGATCAGCTGCCCTTTTGATGCCAACATAAGACTGCTGATTAGTGGGTAGTTGCTTGTCCTGTTACATTATGTCACAAGTATTATTATAAATTCATAATAATTCAACTTTAAAGATTATTCTCCCAAATATCTCACATGGAACAAAAAAATATTCTTTTTAGGTATTTTTTTTAAGTTTAGAGTATTCTTTCTTTTCAAGAATTATTCTTAGTGCATTATACACAAGTTGGAGTTTTTCAGTCCCATAGAAGTTATTCTTAACTTGGCAAATGTGGTTTTTACTGGGTAACAAACAAACTTTTACTGTTATAGCTTCATAGTGGAACTCCTTTCACTACATAGTGATTGACACATACGCGTATTATTGATACATTTACAAAGTTGTAATTGTAAAACTGCTCAAGCTGGGGCATGAAGGATGTTGCACTTTTTCATTATCCCTCATATACAGACTCAATCAAACCGACTCTGCAATTTTCTTATAATTTTGATGTGATTAATGCTTCCGAGGATTACCTGTTCTTCATATCTTGTTTTAAACCCACTGTTTGGTGGGAAATGGGACATTTGCCAAGTTTTTGAGTATTATCATTCACAAAATTGTTTGCATCAAAATCAAGGTGTACCTCGTCAAATCATGCGTAACTTGTTCAAATTATCAAAACATTGAAATATTACTATTCAATACAAACATACTTTCATACATTATCAAAACATGAAATTTGTCACGATAAAATATATTTACTAAAGATTTTAACATTTAAGTCGACCAAAAAAAATGTTCACATATTTATATTCCTTAAGATATCTATTCACATATTGTATAAAATTATCTTTATTTGTAACTGTCTGTATGAAACATTTATTTAGATAAAGGCCCATAATGCCCCAGCCAGAAGAGCTTTTATCTTTATTTGTTAAAATCTTTTTTATTTTTGGTGTCCTGTTAGAATTTTTTCTAAACAAATAAAAGTTACTCATTAGCAAATTACCTGAAACATATTTTGCTTCTATTGCTGTTTGGCAATTGTTACAGTTATAGAAAGTTAGTATTTTGTATAGAAGTCAAAATACTACTTCATTACAATAATATCACATTCAGTGTTACTTTCTTCAGGTGATAAGCATATAACATGCTTTTAACTTAAGTAATGCATCTAACATGTTTTAACTTAACGGTTATAACTTAAACATTATAAAACTCATGTTTGCCCTTTGAAAAGAAAGAATAATAGGTATAATGAGCCTTTAAGAAGATATTAAATCATCATTTCTCACCACAGTGATATTTCCTAGATCTTATTATTACATAAATTATTGCAAGCAAAATTCAGAAAAATATACCAAATTAAACATACAATCATATGCTGTATAAATAACTTTTAGTTAAATTTATATATTATTAAAGGGACACCACTGAAATATTTTGACATGACTGCAAATTTTCTTTCTTCAGATTAATGTTTAATTTCATATAGATCTAGACCAATAGCTTAATTGTGCCAAATTTCTGATCAATTGCTAACTTCATTTGTTCCAGAATAATTATTCTAATTGAGAAAAATAACCCAAAATTTAAAAGCGTTGCAACACTTTTCTTTTCACTGAAATCTGAATAAGAATAGCACAAAAATATAATTTTCAAGTATATATCTTAATTATCTTTTGCTTAACTTTCTGATTTAACTTTCCGTCCAAGCTGGTCTATGTAAGAAATTTTAATTTTATGTTGTAACACTTTTGTACCGCAGTGGGGTTCCTTTAATATACAATGTATGCTAACAATTAAACAACAAATTCACAATTTCCAGTACACTCTATATATAAACCCTATCAGTATAACAGGATTTTATTACAATATTTCTATTTCTTCAATAAGAGTAAAATACATAGTTACATACATGTGTACCACAACAGAAATTTTTATACCCAATCTTAAAAAACAAAAAAAAACCTTAAATTTATTAACGTGTCTCTAATCCACTTTATACATATAAATTCTATATAAAAAATGTCTAACATTTCAATATACACATGTAATAAAAACACAAAATATATCCCTATAATAGCTATTTAGATTAAACAAGAAGCCAGCATCTTTAAAAGTAAACAATATATACAGGTCATTTTTGTATTAACTTATATTTTAAGCTATAAAACATACAATTTATTTTTTATCAGGAATCTAAAATTTTACGAACTGCGGGAAGCTGCAAAACAAAACTGAAACATGAGTAAAAGCTTGGCTATTTAATATAATAATAGTCTGCTCTTATTGAAATATACAAGAATTTATAGGTTGTCTCAAAGAAATTTGCATGATATATCAAAAATGTAAGAATTGTTAACAACTATTGTTTCATTAAAACACTGATTAAGAAAATTATTTTTTCAAGAAGTAGTACGGTAAATTCACACCAAACAGTTAATATTTGCTATAAATATAACAGATCTTTAGTTCATTACATATAAATGACCAATACATATTGTCTTTACATAATAATGCCCAGGGTGCATATATAAATCTAGTACTGAGTTTTAGTTTCGTATGTTGTATGCTCTGTTGTTGTTGTTGTGGTCGTGTGCGAGGAACCTCCTCCGCTACGGCCCTGCTGCCAGCCTCGGAAAAGGAGGAAAGTGTCAAACACGTAACATGCTGTCGCCGCAAACGTGAAGAACTGTAATTAAAAAGAACAGGTTCATTATCAATAATTAAAGTTTTGTTATCAAAATTATTTCTTTTTGATTATAAATTAATATTTCATGTTTCTAAAAATTTCTCAAAATGAAAGCTAGAAAATTTTTTTTTTTTAAACTTTTTTAAATACTGACATTAAATCCAATTGTCTTTTCCTGACTTTAATATTCTCATTACTATTTTTCATAAGTGTTGAGTTTTTAATCAAGATCTTATATTTACTTATGTTTTACAATAATTAGATATATTAATAAACAACTAAATTTCTAAAGTACACTTAAATAATTCAAAACTTTTTTATTAAAGAACTTACTTAAGTTTATACATTGGTAAAACTTATCAAAAATGGTAAAAACATCAAAAATACAATATTAAGACAACAGAAAACATTGCTACTGTTCCTCTTCTTGCAAAGACATTAAAGCAAGCAAGTATGTTTACAAACAATTGGTAAAACAAAGATAGATTATTGTTATCTCAACACACAAAACAAGAAGACCATACATAATTGGCCCTGAAGTTGCTCACCTGTCAAAAAACCGAAACAGTGCTGGAATGCTTGTACTTACTGTAGTACTGTGTTTTCATTAAAATTTTAGCATAGTTAATTAGTTCTTGTACAGATATAGGCTCATATACCAGCACTAAAATATCCACATATTTAAAAGCCCAATATGCTTAAATTCTAATGTCACAAAACTTTATTTTCGGTGTCGTATTATAGTTTTCAAAAAGGTCATTTTACTTGACCTATCTTTTAGTTCTTTTGCTTGCTTGGAAATATAAGTACAGTTGTAGTGATTTAGTATTTTGTATGAAAGTTAAAATACTGCTTTGTTTACATTTTGCTACCTTTAAGACAAAATAATTTCATGTTCAGTGTTACATTCTTTTGCTAATAAGCATCTAATATGCTCTAAAATCATTATCAAAACGATGTTTGCCCTCTCTAATGTAGGAAAAATGTAATAATTTTTTAAGCATAATGTGCCTTTAAAGTATTTTCCAAGGACTGGTAAGCACTGATTTTTAAACTTGTCATTTCTTACAAAATTGGGTGTTTAATTGGTCCTAATTATGTTTACAATTCACCATTTATAATAGCTGTTATAAGCTTAAACAAGAACCGGTTGAACCGGGTGATGCTCCCCGAGAAGGTTCTGGACACAGGAAAGTATAAAAAGAAATGAACAAAGGGCAAAAACTCCAAAATTAGGCAAAGCGGAGTTATGTTTTTTTGCACTGCACTCCTATTCAATTAGATCTATCTATCTATAAAGTTTCCTGATGATATCAGAGTTATGTCTCGGGTAAAATTCAAAGTGTAAAAATGAACAAAGGGTAATAACTCCAAAATTAGACCAGGCTTTGTTTAGGTTCTTTAAGCATTGCAGTTCTATCCAATTATATCTAGCTACCTACAAAGTTTCATGTTGATATCTCTAATAGTTTTAAAGTTATGTCCCGGACAAAAGTCAAAAAGTAAAAATAAACAAAGGGCAATTACTTCAAAATAAGGCAAGGCAGAGTAATGATTCTTAAGCACGCAGCACTTCCACCCAATGAGACATACAATTTTTTGTATCTATCTACAAAGTTTCATGTTGATATCTCTTTTACATTTAGAGTTATGTCCCGGACAAAGTTCAAAGTGTAAAAATAAACAAAGGGGGATAATTCAAAAATTAGGCAAGGCAGAGTTAAGGTTCTTGTTCACTGCACACCTACTCAATGAGATCTATCTACCTACAAAGTTTCATGTTGATACCTATTATAGTTTTAGAGTTATGTCCTGGACAAAGTTCAAAGTGTAAATTAAACAAAGGGGGATAATTCAAAAATTAGGCAAAGCAGAGTTAAGGTTCTTGTGCACTGCACACCTACTCAATGAGATATATCTACTTACAAAGTTTCATGTTGATACCTCTTATACTTTTAGAGTTATGTCCCGTACAAATTTCAAAGTGTAAATTAAACAAAGGGGGATAATTCAAAAATTAGGCAAGGCAGAGTTAGGGTTCTTGTGCACTGCACAACTACTCAATGAGATCTATCTACCTACAAAGTTTCATGTTGATACCTCTTATACTTTAAGAGTTATGTCCCGGACAAAGTTCAAAGTGTAAAATAAACAAAGGGGGATAATTCAAAAAATAGGCAAGGCAGAGTTAGGGTTCTTGTGCACTGCACACCTACTCAATGAGATATATCTACCTACAAAGTTTCATGTTGATACCTCTTATACTTTTAGAGTTATGTCCCGGACAAAGTTCAAAGTGTAAAAATAAACAAAGGGGATTAATTCAAAAATTAGGCAAGGCAGAGTTACGGTTCTTGTGCACTGCACAACTACTCGATGATATCTATCTACCTACAAAGTTTCATGTTGATACCTCTTGTTGTTTCAAAGTTATGTCCCGGACAAGAAAAGGGGACGGACGGAAAGATGGAAGGACAGACAGACGGACTAACAAGGCGGCGACTATATGCTCCCCCGAAATTTTGGGGAGCATAAAAAGTAGATCTACATGTTTGCTTAAATTGACCCTCGGAGAAAATTACGAGTTGCAAACAGGTAAATGTTTCAATTCATATGCCAGCATTCACAAATCTAAAACTAATATTTTCTGCTGCTAGGTTTTCAAAAAATTAATTCGTCATTCCACAAAATTGACCACACTTTAAAACCTTTGAGAAATAATCAGTATTACAATATTACAATAGTAGCGTACCTGATTACATTTCTCAATGTGCATGCTACGGAACAAGTTGTTTTATTTCAAATATAACCACCACAATGGGAAAGAACATTAAGTTGTCTTTAGATTCAAATTTTTGAATAAAAAAAACAGGGCTTTATTTTTCAGAGTAAAGTATCATCTTTCAATGTCTTCAATTTGTAAAGCAAACTATTTTAAAAATCGATAATGCAAAAAATAAAATAGTTTTAATATTGGTTTCAATTGTAAGGTGTCCAGTAGTGACAGCCAAACATTTGCGTTAAAATTTCACTGAGGATTATTTTAAACACTTGTGAAACAATTTTAGGATAAATAAGGGTAAAATATATTTCTGTATATTTCCTTATCAAAATAATGCATTGAATTAGTCATTTCATATTGAACAAAATGTCACAACTTAAATATGATAATAGATGGATAATTTTCGTGTTATTTTATAAGCTTTATAAGATATACTGAATGATAGCGATGTTTTCTAAATCATTATCTCCCTTTTTACAATTTCAAAGTGTGATTTAAGCAAGTATTTTTCAAAATTCTAAACTTTCACAAAAGTAACCACCGGTATTAATTTCACAATTGTTGAATCTATTTACCAGCCTTGTTTCTTTGTGAAAATGCGTAAATTATTGGATACAGTCATTTAATGTAAATCTTTCGAAAATTATATGTGCTCTTTTAACCTTGATAATAATTGTATAATTATGTTTAAAATATTAGTATTTTTACAAAACAAAAATTAGATATTTCCCATGTTAAAAATGGGCATAATTCGAGAAAAACTTGTCACTTAATTATGTCCTATGACCTATGGATGTGCATTGTCCCAAGGGGCAGAACTCTAGCAGTACTTACCACTTAATTATGTCCCTTGATCTACAGATGTGAATTGTTCCCATTATCAAGTATGTAAAGAATGAGTACATTATCTATGATAGTTTTAAATTTTTTTTATCAATAAGCAATTTTTAACAAAAAACAAGGGTGCCATAGTCACAAAATACGCCTGTTTACGAAAGCTTTAGATGGAGATGTGTTATCTAGCAAGCAAGTTTTTATTCTTGGCACTGTGTTGTTAAATGAACCTTAAAACAAATCAGTAGGGAAGATATGCACAGGATGTGTGACCTTGACCTTGGTCGCAGGGACCTGAATTTTATGCATGGCACTCAGCCTCACAATGATGAACATTTGTGCCAAATTATATTGAAATCCCTCTATGCATGTAGAAGTTTTGCTCCAGACAAGCGTTTTTCTATGAGCTCTGTGACCTTCACCTTTGACCTAGAGACTTGGTTCATGTGCAGGGCACTACGTCTCATGGTGGTGAACAATTCTATAAAGTAACATTAAAATTCCTCCATGCATGTAGAAAATATGCTCCGGACAACATCTGGATATTTAATCATCTCCAGTGACCTTGACCTTGCAAATATTAACCTAAATTAAATGTGTCACACCTGTAGTCATGATAGTTACCATTTGTGCTACAATCCATCAATAAATGATGACTAAATGGTCCCTATACACATCTTCAAATTTTTATCTGAACTTTGACCTCTATGTGTAACCTTGACTTTGGTTGCAAGGATCTGAATTTTGCGTGCGACACTCAGCCTCACAATGGTGAAGATTTGTGCCAAGTTATATTGAAATCCACCTATGAATGTAGAAGTTTTGCTCCGGACAAGCGTTTTTTATTGAGCTCTAAGTGTGACCTTGACCTTTGACCTGGAGACCTGGATCATGCATGGAGCAATACATATCATGGTGGTGAACATTTCCATAAAGTATTATAAAAATTCTTCCATAGATGAAGGAGATATGCTCCAGACAAAATCTGGATATTTCACCATCTTTTGTGACCTTGACCTTGCATATATTGACCTAAAGTACATGTGTCACACCTGTAGTCATGATAATGACCATTTGTGTTACAATCCCTCAAAAAATGATGATTAAATCGTCCCTATACACATCTTCATATTTTTATCTGAACTTTGACCTCTATGTGTGACCTTGACCTTGGCCGCAAGGACCTGAATCTTGCGCACGACACTCCGCCTCACAATGGTGAAGATTTGTGCCAAGTAATATTGAAATCCCTCTATACATGTGGAAGTTTTGCTCCGGACAAGCATTTTTCAATGAGCTCTAAGTGTGACCTTGACCTTTGACCTAGAGACCTGATTCATGTGCGCGACACTGCTCCTCATAGTGGTGAACATTTCTATGAAGTTTCATTAAAATCCCTCCATACATGTAGGAGATATGCTCCGGACAAAATTGGACGCCGCCCGCCCAGCAGGGGCGTTCCCATAATACATCCCGTTTTTCAAACGGGCGTATAAAAAGTTACTTGGGATTAAACTCCAAAACATTATGGCTTTAATGATAAATAGAGGATATTGAATGAGTGTAGTTTTATACTAAATTTATTGAACAAGTTGAATAAAATTATATTATGCTAGCCTCTGGCAAGCTTAATATTGTTTTATTCAAGGAGTTCAATAAATCTAGTATTGAATCTTCACGAATATAATATTCTTTTTTATCACATATATAAAATATGAACAATAAACTGTTAAAATGAGTAATTTTTCAATGACGCGTTTGTAGTGTAACGCTAACATTAGCGTGCTTTAACGCTATGTTTCTATATAGTGCAAATGATGTCGCATCAAAGTGTTATTACGCTAGTGTAATATCGTTTTTATTAAATGGCTTTATTACACTCCTGCGCCGCGGATTATGTGATAATGTCCCTTATCTAACAATTGCGCCGTGTCATGATAATTAAATGTTGTTATCATTGATACTTTTTAAATAGGAGCATTTCTCTGAACTGTTGTTAGTTGTACAATTTTAAAATGTACTCATGACAAAACTCAAATAAGCCTAGTGGTAAAGGTGTCTGCCTCTCAACCCAGAGATCACAGGTTCGAGCCCTACTCGGGTCACGACCATGCTTCTTCATATAACACCAGTACTGGTTGGTTCCAGGAAGCGGACTTGAAAGTTATTAATATAAGTTGCAAGAACTTGTTTCGCAATTGAGCTTAAATAAATATGTCTAAACCAAAACTCAAATGAAAAAAAAAAGAGACAAAAACCAAAACAAGTTATTGAGCAGACATTGATTTTACACAGGTGTCACTGTTACCTTGACCTTTAATTTAATGATCACAAAATTCAATAGGGCAATGTCTAAATGTCACAAACCAAGATTTATTTCTTCAACTGATGAACAAGGATTTTACACCAATTATCACTGTGAAATTGACCTAATGACCTCTTCATATACGAGTCATCCACTGTCCATGGGCAATGCCATAACCATTTTAACAAACTTGCGCTTATTGCTTTTCTACTTACTGAGCTGACAAATATTTCTGACTTAAATGTGCGACCTTTGACCTGATGACCTTAAAATTAATAATGGTCATGACACAAAAGCGCTATTAAATTATGTTATATTCGGACAAATAATAAGGGAAATAATAAAAAAAATAAGAATAATGTCCTTTGTCTTGCAACTATGTCTTGTCAAGATATGCAAATATTTCAGGTTTCATGTAGATATCGCTGATAGTTTCAAAATAATTCATTCGAAAAAAATTCTAAGTTACAAAGGGGCATAACTCACAATAATATAATGTTTTCAGAGTAACCTCTCTTGTCTTATGACCGCCCCTGTCACTATAAACATGTATTCCAAGAGACAGTTGAAAGTAGTTAAGAAATTCATTAATGTTTCTGTACATTAACTCATAATATTCTTACTAGTATCATACGTTTAAAAAAAGGATAAAAAATATTAAAGCTTATCACTCAAGATATTCACAGCTCAACTCTCACCACAAACTGAAAACAATATATAATTCAGCAAGTTACCACTTACATTTTAGATTGTTTATTGAGTTATTTTCACAAAATAGAGATATAAACAAAATAAATATCTAACTTACATGTACTACATTTCAGTTACTGTAAGACATGGCTGTCCCAGGAAAGAAAGCATCAAAACAATTTTTATTATCAACAACATCCAAGGCATCAGATGAAGATCTTCAAGATAACTGCCAACATTGTGATGATGAAGGAACTAAGGTACCTGCTCATGAATACTGTTCATATTGCAAGGAACATCTATGCGAGAATTGTTTTATAAACCATAAAAAACATAAACGTTTCAAGCAAGATACTCTTTCAGTTGCATTAAGCATGCCTAAATCCTTGCAACAGACCACTACATCCACCTGTACAACCCTGCTTTATGACCGAACAACATCCTGTCAAGAACACAACTCAAAACCAAATGAGGCAATATCAACAAAGAAAGCAACAAAGTCATTGGCTATTGTAAAACAGAAAACTTTGACAGATTCTCAATCTGGGCAAATAAATCCTCGGCAATTTTCATTCCAGGGAGAAATCTGTGTGAAGACATCCAAAGATTCTGGATTCCACAAACCATGCTGGATAAAGCGATGCTGGATAACAGGGATGACTCTGCTAACTCCAGATGTTCTTATCATCACTGACTACAATAACAGAGCTGTAAAGATGGTAGATACCAGAAGTCAATCTATAACTGATCAACTACAACTAGGTACACAACCTTGGGATATCACCAAAATTACCAGTACAGAACTTGCTGTCACACTTTATAGACAACATGAAATACTGTTTATATCAGTGGCATCAAAAAAACTCAGTACGGAGCGCAGTTTAAAGGTAGACGGAGATTGTAATGGTATCAGCTATTTCCAAGCTAAACTTGTCGTGTCCATTTCCAAACCTGCAAAACTCCAAATTCTTGATATGAATGGTACTACATTAACAACTATTGATGGAAAAGCCAACGGTATTTTTGAAAACCCAATTTATGTAACAACTAACATTAGCTCTATATATGTATCTGATTATGACTTGAAAACAGTCACAAGATTAAACTGGCAGGGTGACGTGATTTCCACATATAGTATGACTAAGAATAGAGGAATGTCACTGTCAGATGATGGTACTGTCTTTGTATGTGACAAGGAGAAAAATGTTATAGATGTAATATCAGGAGACTGTTCTACAGGAAAGGTTGTGTTACAGGACAGGACAAATCCCCATGCTGTATGCTGGTGTGGAGGTTGCTCTACAGGAAAGGTTGTGTTACAGGGCGGGACGAATCCTCATGCTGTATGCTGGTGTGGAGAAACAAACAAACTGTACTACAGCTGTGATCCTAGACAAGCGCACTTTAACGACTTTCTTCACATTTATAAACTGTCATAAACTTGAACAAAGATTAATAAACAAAATACTGTCAACAGTTCTTAATAGTACTAGCCATTCTAGAACTTGTTCAAAAGAATGTAGTATAACAAGATAAATTTAGCAACATACACAGTGTACTTTTATATCAGAACAGTTTTATTTATGTTAAAAATCTAATTTGATAAAACTACTTTGTGTGAATCACTTCCTTAATACATATTCATGTCAAGATATATTAGAGCCGTGTCACGACAAAACCAACGTAATGCGTTTGCAACCAGCATGGATCCAGATCAGCCTGCACGAAAACTTTGTTGCTTTAAGGTGTATGAATAAAATATGCCAATTTTGACCAATTTTAAAACTGGTGACATGAAAATATGCCATTACCATGAAATAAATGATGACGAGGAATTAGTGATGTTAAGTATACTACATATTTTGAAATTTTCCCTAAACAATGAAAAATGGTTTTGTCCGGATTGAAAGATGGTCAAGCTCATTTATGAAATTTAACAATGGTAATGGTTAATTATTCAGCAATTTTGTTATTTCTGTACTGGCTTGAAAACAATATTATGTTACTTTTGTAAATAATTGATTATAAATGCATGTTTACAGAATGATGTGTTATGATGTATATAGATCAATCAATGCTACAGTACAATATCTGATTCATCGTAGTGCCTTGAATTGTTGTATATCATCATACATAAATAATACCAGCATGTATTGTAAAACATTTCCTGTAAACAAAACTAGTATATATTTATTTTAAATTGTTTTACGTATACTATTCATGATCTTTCTTTAATTTAAAACAGTCATATTCACTTTAAGCCTCTCTTTGTCAAAAAATATGATAAACAAGATCAACAAGGAAAGGCCGCGTTCAATAAACCCAAAAACCATCAGTATCTTAGCATCACAATGGAAATAAGATAATTTTATTAAGTTCTCTTTCTTGTGTTATCCTAGGTATGATGTCCCTGATTTGGTTTCATTTCTAAATCATGTTATATTGTTTTTATTGTTTTACCATGTTATTAAATGATACTGAAATAAATCTATCTATCTTGTAGTATACCAGAATCATTCTATTGCACTGCTTTTGTGAAATGTAAAATTACCTTGAATATCTTACAAACAATACACTTTATTGTGAACTGATATTTGTAGACAACTTCTACTTTGTAGACAAACACAAGATAATGTGTAACACCTCATATGAAAACTGCAGGCGAAAGAGATTTCACAATATAATTATGGTATCTATTTTGGCATTAATTTCCTTTAAATATAAGAAAATTTCCTTATAAAAAATTAATAATTATAGCAATTAATTCATATATAATATTTCCTTATTGAATATGATGACTATATCTTAATTGTTTAACACAATAACGTTATGATTCACAGAGCTGATGCAATAAAACCAGAATCTTTTATATTTCCTTATCGAAGTAGAAAAGGGACATCGATCTCGAGTTTTTTTTGGACATGATGGGACTTGAAATATATTTTCACGGTTTGTGTAAGATCTGATATAGGTCTAGACCATTAACATATATCTGTAAAATGTCAGGCATATTGCTCACATAGATTTTATTCTTCTATTATATAAAATGACATTCATATCTGTCTAAGAATTACAATAAAAATCATTTTGGGTTTATTTCTAAGTATCATTCTTAATTATGTTTTGCTCTTTTCCAGTTAAAAGTTCTTAAGTTGATCTACAAGCATTTAAGAATTTCATAATTCATTTTTTTCTAAGATTTTAGGACCTTTATGGAGCTTGTTTAATGCATAAGAAAGTAAGAAATAAAGTAACAGTGTTCATTTAACTCTGAATGGATGCTATCATCAAACAACCTTTTGTCAGTCATTTTACAAGTGCAGAAATTTTGTTAGTGACAATACTGACTATCAGTATTTGTTTTTTGAACAAGAACATAGGTTTAGTTAGTGATGATGCTAGCTTGCCTATGGTATCAGTATCAAGCCTGACAAGTTTGCACGTTCATACAGCCCCTCTCCCCCCCCACCATCCCTTCCAATTCCAAACACCACCGACTCTTTACCTCTTCACCTGTTATCTGCTGAATTAAAGCTCTTTTTGATATCCTAACACTTTTAAATACAAAAATGTATGAATGAAAATTTCTACATTGCAAGCAAGGCATAATACAAATTTCGCAAACTAAAAGAGTTAAATTTCACCCTCAAACTTACCATTACATGTACCTTTAGTGCTTATACAGAATAGATATTATCCGGAACATGGGTTTTTTACAAGCTTATCTCCAAGGACAAACAAACTTTTACCTCTATAGCTTCACAGTGCACTACTGGTCACAATAGGTTAGTCAACCTGTTGCGCTTATTTTCGAAGCTGTAACTGTAAAAATTTGTTTGTAACCCCTGATTAGCTGGGAAAAACCAAAAATATTCTTTAACATTTCGGAGTAAGTGCATTGAGTGTGTTGATAACAATTATAGCTATGACAGCACACTTCAAGAGGTAATATATGTAGGTAGAAATCTGTCTCTGAATAAACCAAGATGAACTGACAAATATTCTCACAAACATCAAACTATCTATTATGTTCTTTCAGATAAATCAAAAAAATTTGAGGCAAGTAAAAAGCAGCAGAAATAATTAAATTGAAGCTATTTATCAAAACTATAATTCAGCTAGCAAGATAGGTTCCTATTTTGTCCATAAGAAATAAAAAAAAAACACCTTTTAAGATAATAATACATACAATTAATTCATATAGTCATTGAAATGAAATCCGAGCATTTCCAATGAAAATACAGTCATGTCTAACGAAGTTAGGATAACAGGGTTATACATATATACATATACATAGTACATAATTGCAGTGCGATACATTATGAAAATTTTGTGACTATGATTATGCTGGTATAGTAAAAATATAGACTTGTTATAAAGAAAGACTCACAGTTGCCGCGGCAATAGAAGAATGCCAGTTAAATCGGACAGCACAAACTATACCGGATATTATCATCATCAGTGAGTATAACACATAGTAGATCAACTCCTGTATATAACATAGAGAAGTAGGTCAATATATATAGGAGAATGTGAAGTTTCGTGGAAATCAGCTAAATTATAGCCCTGTACACCTCTGACCATTAGATAGCCGTCACAACCGTCACAACCCAGGTATATCATCCTTATTACACTGTTTATCATTCTAACAAAATCTGAACAAAAATCCTAAACATATATGACATTTAAGTATACAAGAGCCATGTCAACATGGTCATCCTCCGCCGAATGTGTTTGCTCATTGGAAAAATGTATATGTAGTAGAGCAGAATAATTCCATTTTAAGAGGTCTTTTGATAATGAAAACTGATGGCTATAGTGATTACAGATTTGAAACCTATGTGAATACTGATGGCTGAAAATAACAAAGGGCAATAACTGAAAAATAATGCAGGGTAGGTTATCATTCTTGTGTGCTGCATCCCTCCTCAGTAAAATCTATCCACCTATGAAGTTTCAAGTTGATACCTCAAATACTTTTTGAGAAAAAAATTGAATTGAAAAATTAAGTATGAAAAATAACAAAGGGCAATAACTCAAAAATTATAAAAGGTAGAGTTATCATTCTTGTGCACTGCACACCTCCTGAATTAGATCTATGCACCTATGAAGTTTCATAATGATATCTCAAAGGCCTTTTGAGTTATGCTCTGGACAAAAATTAATTTTGAACTAGAAATGTGTCCATAGGACACGGGTGCCCCCACCGCGCCACTGTTCTGTCAATCTTTTTACTAAGTCAAGGGAAATAACTCTACAAATACTGGATAAATCCACAAGCGAAACCCAAGGTGCAAATCTAAATATGCTGAGCAAGCTGCCCATAAGGTTTAATGACTATGTAAAATCCTTTTTTGAGTAACTTGCGACACAAGTTGAAAATTGCAAAAAATTTCTAAGTGAAGGGCAATAACTCTAAAAATACTAAATAAATCACGAAGAAAATACCTGGTGCACAACTGCACATGCTGATCAATATTCCTGTAAAGTTACATGACTCTAGGTCAAATACTTTTTGAGTTACATGCGACACATGTTGAAAATTGCAAAATTTTACTAAGTCAAGGGCAATAACTCCAAAAATACTAAAAATATCCACACGAAAATACCCAGGTGCACAACTACACATGCTGATCAACATTCCTGTTAAGTTTCATGACTCTAGGTCAAATACTTTTTTAGTTACATGCGACACAAGTTGAAAATTGCAAAATTTTACTAAGTCAAGGGCAATAACTCTGAAAATACTAAAAATATCCAGACAAAAATACCCAGGTGCACAACTACACATGCTGATCAACATTCCTGTAAAGTTTCATGACTCTAGGTCAAATACTTTTTGAGTTACATGCGACACAAGTTGAAAATTGCAAAATTTTACTAAGTCAAGGGCATTAACTCTGAAAATACTAAAAATATCCAGACGAAAATACCCAGGTGCACAACTACACACGCTGATCAACATTCCTGTAAAGTTTCATGACTCTAGGTCAAATACTTTTTGAGTTACATGCGACACAAGTTGAAAATTGCAAAATTTTACTAAGTCAAGGGCAATAACTCTGAAAATACTAAAAATATCCAGACGAAAATACCCAGGTGCACAACTACACATGCTGATCAACATTCCTGTAAAGTTTCATGACTCTAGGTCAAATACTTTTTGAGTTACATGCGACACAAGTTGAAAATTGCAAAATTTTACTGAGTCAAGGGCAATAACTCTGAAAATACTAAAAATATCCAGACGAAAATACCCAGGTGCACAACTACACATGCTGATCAACATTCCTGTAAAGTTTCATGACTCTAGGTCAAATACTTTTTCAGTTACGTGCGACACAAAAGTGAACGAACGGACGGAAGGACGGACGGACAGACGGACGGACAAGGGTAAATCTAAATGCCCGCCACTAATGTGGGGGCACAAAAATAACAAAGGGCAATAACTCAAAAATTATGCAGGGTAGAGTTATCATTCTTGTGCACTGCACTCCTCCTCAATGAGATCCATCCACATATGAAGTTTCCAGTTGATACCTCAAATACTTTTTGAGATAAGCTCTGGACAAAATAGCATGAAAAAGAACAAAGGGCAATAACTCAAAAATTGTATAGGGAAGAGTTATCATTCTTGCGCACAACATTTCTGCTCAATAAGATCTATCCACCTATGACATTTCATGTTGATATGTCAAACACTTTTTGAGTTATGCTTCACTCAGGTGAAAAATTAAGTAAGAAAAATAACAAAGGGCTACAACTCAAAAATTATGAAAGGTAGAGTTATCATTCTTGTGCACTGCACACCTCCTGAGTGAGATCTATGCACCTATGAAGTTTCATGTTGATATCTCATAGGCTTTTGGAGTTATGCTCTGGACAAAAATCAATTTTGAAAAATAACAAAGGGCAATAACTCAAAAATTATGCAGGGTAGAGTTATCATTCTTGTGCACTGCACTCCTCCTCAATGAGGTCTATCCACCTATGAAGTTTCAAGTTGATAACTCAAATACTTTTAGAGATATGCTCTGGACAAAAATGTCGGACGGAAGGACGGACGGACGTACGGAGACTATTTCTATATCCCCCGCCGAAAAGTTTTCCGCGGGGGATAAAAATATTCATCAATTACCAATATATACATTTATATATCAGTCATTTATTGAATATTTTCGTGCATGTGTGTGTGTGTTGGCCTTTCTACTAGCGGCCGGAATTCTATGATAGATTAAGATATTCACAACTTTATTATGTAAACAGTGTAATAAGAACTCAATGGGTTTTTTGTCTAATCTGAAACAGTTTTGAAAAGTTAAATGCACAAAACTGAAAACGGTATTAGTTCCAATTTATTTCATATTTCTGCAAATCTATATCCCCCCAACACACACACCCCAGTAGCAGGGGCATAATAAATTCAGTGAAACAGAATGCCTACTGCTGAACATTTTTGTCACAGAATTATTTCACAACTACAACGATGCTGTCCCTATGCAGTGAACAAATAACATCAGTGATGTGTAGACAATACCCAAAATATAATTTCAGTTTTGTGCATTCAAAAGAGATGAAAGTTTGTTAGTAACAGCACAACAAATCTGTCTATAGAGCACTCATCTAGCAAACACATAAAACTCATGCAACACTGGTGCCATACTCACAGCAGCAGCACCTATACTGGCATCCCAGTTTCCACGTGCAGCACACACGATTCCAGCAATCAGCATCATCAATGAATACAACACGTAGTAGATTAATTCCTAAATACGTTAAAAAACAAAATCGCAAACATAATATCAAAACAATAATCTAACTAAACATGCAATTTCTTGAAAAAAAACATTGGGGCCCAAAAAACATTTTTTATAAAATCATATGCCAAACAACAAAAATTTTTTTCCACAAAAAAATGGATTGGGTGTCTTTACTTTTTATTTATGATTACAAAATGGCCCTTTTCCCAAATACCATGTAACCCAAAGGAAAACCCCAAAACAATGGGGCCAATTCCCCTATATCCCTCTTTGGCTCTTTCTTCTTTATGAAAAAGGCAAAACTTTTTGTTTTTTTTTTTTTTTTTGAAGCCCAAAACCAAAATAAAATGATGCAAGAAAAAAACAAAACATTTCATAACTTATAAATTTGACGATTTTATCTGGATACAAGACAAAAAGGGAAAGGAAATTTCTGGTGCCCCACATTCTTTTTCTTACTATACTTTTCAAACCGTGGCACCAACTGATGAAACAAGGTACCACGGCGCCGACCACCGCTGCTATGAACATCATGAGTGAATACACGACATAGTAGATTAACTCCTACATTTAAATATACACAACATAGTAGATTAACTCCTACATTCAAATATACATGACATAATAGATTAACTCCTACATTCAAATATACACGACATAGTAGATTAACTCCTACATTCAAATATACACGACATAGTAGATTAACTCCTACATTCAAATATACATGACATAATAGATTTAACTCCTACATTCAAATAAACACGACAATGTAGATTAACTCCTACATTCAAAATATACATGACATAGTAGATTAACTCCTATATTCAAATATACATGACAAAGTAAATTAAATCCTACATTCAAATATACAAGTTATAGATGTTAAACTCCTACATTCAAATATACATGACATAGTAGATTAACTCCTACATTCAAATATATACGGCATAGTAGATGAACTCCTACATTCAAATAAACACGACATAGTAGATTAACTCCTACATTCAAATATACACAACATAGTAGATTAACTCCTACATTCAAATATACATGACATAGTAGATTAACTCCTACATTCAAATATACACGACATAGTAGATTAACTCCTACATTCAAATATACACGACATAGTAGATTAACTCCTACATTCAAATATACACGACATAGTAGATTAACTCCTACATTCAAATATACATGACATAGTAGATTAACTCCTATATTCAAATATACATGACAAAGTAAATTAAATCCTACATTCAAATATACAAGTTATAGTTGTTTAACTCCTACATTCAAATATACATGACATAGTAGATTAACTCCTACATTCAAATAAACACGACATACAGGGTTGTCATTAAGAGGCGGCAGGAGGCCAAAATGCCTGTCTCAAATGCATTATGGGCCGCCTCAAAATTAAGAAAACACTCTTTGTTATGCATGATAAAGACAGAAATGACCGCCTCAAGTTCAAAACAAACCTTCTGCAAAAAATGTTAATGACAACCCTGACATAATAGATTAACTCCTACATTCAAATATACACGACATAGTAAATTAACTCCTACATTCAAACATACAGGACATAGTAGATTAACTCCTACATTCAAATAAACACGACATAATAGATTAACTCCTACATTCAAATATACACGACATAGTAAATTAACTCCTACATTCATATATACACGACATAGTAGATTAACTCCTACATTCAAATATACACAACATAGTAGATTATTCTATATTAAAATATACACGACATAGTTAATAGATGTCAAAGTTTTTTGAGATTTAAGTCCTGAAACTTGGAGGAAAAAAACTGCAAATCTAACCCTGTAACATCTTCAGAAAAATCATTAAAACAGCCATTCTGTAAGACCTTTTTTCTCCTGTGACCATATCAGTTTCTAATTTATAATAATGAGTATAATATTATAATCCAAACTAATCAAATTACATTCAGAATTTGTCATTTGTTTCAATTGGCTGTCACTAACCAAAGTTTATCTTTCTTACTTAAACATTTAGTAACTGATTAAAAAAATTACAACACATTTTAAGTGTCTAAATTTATTGAAAGATCTGATGTACCAGGTAGTGCAGAAAGCATAGGGTACTGGATGCAGAGCTGTTTATTTTTGACATGTCTGAGATTGTTAAAAAAAAAGATAGCTCCTACATTATACAATAGACACTGTCAATAAAGGCATATACAGTATATTTATGAACGGCTGTAAAATATAACAACAATACAAAAACTGGTTTAATCAAAAGAAAAAAATATTTTAAGCGGAATGCATACTTACAATGAGACCCCAGGGTCCAGGGAGTTTATAAATAATTCTAAAGAGATGAAATCCAAAGAGTAGCAGGGTTGTTATAAATGCAGACATGGTAACAAACTGAACCCATCCTCCGCCATACGGCCCCCAATGAATATAGATACTAGCACAAATAAATGCTATGATGTCGAGTACCTGAAATATAAAATATGTACCATCTAAATTAAAGACAATTTTAGCAACTTTGTAACGGATACTTCTTTATCACATAAACCGTGACGCAGGAGTGTAATAAAGCCATTTACTAAAAACGATATTACACTAGTGTAATAACACTTTGACGTGACGTCATTTGCGCGCGCTATATAGAAACATAGCGTTAAAGGGCGCTAATGTTAGTGTTACACTTAGGAGGCGCGTCAATGAAAAATCACTCATTTTAACAGTTTACTGTTCTTATTTCATATGTGTGATAAATAGAATATTATATTCGTGAAGATTCAATAGTAAATTTATTGAACTTGTTGAATAAAACAATATTATGCTTGCCTGAGGCTCGCGAAATATGATTTTATTCAATTTGTTCAATAAATTTAGTATTAAACTATACTCATTCAATATCCTCTATGTATTGTTTCTAATTAATTTATTCATTTTATCATAATGGATAAAATTTACTGTGAGAACCCTATAAAGTATTAAATTACTTCTACAAAATGTGGTAGCATGGCACTAATCAAAAGAACAGCATTAATTAGAAACAATATGATATGTACATGTACATATATTTTACTAATCATACAAAATTCATGGTTATACAAGAGCACCGCTAGGCGGAGCATTATATGCCCGAAAGTGATTTTTTTTTTAGTAAAGATGAAGCATTTGTAAGACATGGGAGTAAAATAAAGTATTACCTCCTTCAAATAACAATTCTCCTTTGAAGTTTCAATATTGTGGTCCAAATGGAACTTTAGGTTATGCCCCAGAAACTGTTTTCAATTCTAAGGTAAAAGTGACCTTGACCTTTGACCTTGTGACCCCAAAATCAATAGGGGTCTTCTACCTAATATGGACAATCATACTATGAAGTTTAAACACAGTAGGCCAAATGATACTTAAGTTATGTTCCGAAAACTGTTTTCAGTTTTAAGGTAATAGTGACCTTGACCTTGTGACCCCAAAATCAATAGGGGTCTTCTACCCAATATGGACAATCATCCTATGAAGTTTGAATATTGTGAGCTAAATGGAACTTAAGTTATGCTCAAGAAACTGTTTTCAATTTCTAAGTAATAGTGACCTTGACCTTTGACCTTGTGACCCCAAAATCAATAAATCAATAGGGGTCTTCTACCCAATATGGACAATCATCCTATGAAGTTTGAACACTGTGGGCCAAATAGAACTTAAGTTATGCTCCGGAAACTGTTTTCAGTTCTAAGGTCATAGTGACCTTGACCTTTGACCTTGTAACCCCAAAATCAATAGGGCTCTTCTACCCAATATGGACAATCATCCTATGAAGTTTGAACACTGTAGGCCAAATGGAACTTAAGTTATGCTCCGGAAACTGTTTTCAGTTTTAAGGTCATAGTGACCTTGACCTTTGACATTATGACCCCAAAATCAATAGGGGTCTTCTACCCAATATGGACAATCATCCTATGAAGTTTGAATATTGTGGGCCAAATGGAACTTAAGTTATGCTCCGGAAACCAAATTGCTAACGGAGGGACGGACAGACGGACGGACGCCAGGGGGTATAACATAATATGTCCGAAATTCTTTCGGGCATATAAAAATGGGTTGAAATTAAGAACAGGTAGGCCTTGTTCATTGTGCAAGATTAAATGATATGTTCTCAAGTCTGTTGTCATGTTGTCAAGGAAGGATTTACCTCTAGTGCAACATTATTACATATTTCCAATACTTGAAGCTGTTGTCGATTTTCATTCTAAAAACAATTCAAATTGAATTTCAGGTAGGCATGCATGTACATTTAATAATACTTGGCTTAACTTGGGGTTCCAATGTTACTGTCTATACAGTATTTGTACAACTATGTGGAATCAATATTATCGTTGAATTAAATCATTAACACTTTTCACCAATTTAAACCATTGTTTATGAAGACATTAAGTGATATTAAAGCTATTAAAATAATGAGATAAATTGTATATCTAACACTTTAACACCCTGTATAATCTGGCAAACACATAAACATAATGTAAATTGGCAAAAATGCACCACCCTGTGTAATTTGATGACACTTTAGGAACCCGTGTAATCTGGCAACAATCTAATTTGACAACATTGTAAAACCCTGTAAAATTTGACAACAAAGTAAAACCCTGTATAAACTGATAATACTGTAAAACCCTGTGTAATTTGACAATACTGTAAAACCCTGTATAATTTGACAATACTGTAAAACCCTGTGTAATTTGACAACACTGTAAAACCCTGTATAAAATGACAACACTGTAAAACCCTGTGTAATTTGACAACACTGTAAAACCCTGTGTAATTTGACAACACTGTAAAACCCTGTATAATTTGACAACACTGTAAAACCCTGTATAATTTGACAACACTGTAAAACCCTGTATAATTTGACAACACTGTAAAACCCTGTGTAATTTGACAACACTGTAAAACCCTGTATAATTTGACAACACTGTAAAACCCTGTATAATTTGACAACACTGTAAAACCCTGTATAATTTGATAATACTGTAAAACCCTGTGTAATTTGACAACACTGTAAAATCCTGTATAAAATGACAACACTGTAAAACCCTGTGTAATTTGACAACACTGTAAAACCCTGTGTAATTTGACAACACTGTAAAACCCTGTATAATTTGACAACACTGTAAAACCCTGTGTAATTTGACAACACTGTAAAACCCTGTATAATTTGACAACACTGTAAAACCCTGTATAATTTGACAACACTGTAAAACCCTGTGTAATTTGACAACACTGTAAAACCCTGTGTAAATTGACAACACTGTAAAACCCTGTATATTTTTGACAACATTGTGAAACCCTGTATAATTTAACAACACTGTAAAACCCTGTATAAAATGACAACACTGTAAAACCCTGTGTAAATTGACAACACTGTAAAACCCTGTATAAATTGACAACACTGTAAAACCCTGTGTAATTTGACAACACTGTAAAACTCTGTGTAATTTGACAACACTGTAAAACCCTGTGTAATTTGACAACATTGTGAAACCCTGTATAATTTAACAACACTGTAAAACCCTGTATAAAATGACAACACTGTAAAACCCTGTGTAATTTGACAACACTGTGAAACCCTATAAAATTTGACAACACTGTAAAACCCTGTATAAATTGACAACACTGTAAAACCCTGTGTAATTTGACAACACTGTAAAACCCTGTATAATTTGACAACAAAGTAAAACCCAGTATAACTTGACAACACTGTAAAACCCTGTATAATTTGACAACAAATTGACAAGTAATTACCTAGACAAGCATCCTGACCAAGTTTGATGATAATTGAGTCGAAAATGTGACCACTAGAGTGTTAACAAGGTTTTTCCATATTTGGGTGGTGTGACCTAGTTTTTCATCCGAGATGACCCATGTTCGAACTTGACTTAGAAATTATCAAAACAAACTTTCAGACCAATTAACAGGATATTTGGATCAAAACAGTAGCCACTAGAGTGTTAACAATATTTTTCTATTTTAAGCTCCTGTGACCTAGTATTTCATCCAAGATGACCCATGTTCGAACTAATCCGAGCAATTACCTAGACAAGTTTCCTGACCAAGTTTGATGACAATTGAGTCAAAATTGTGACCACTAGAGTGTTAACAAGATTTTTCTATTTTTAGCTACAGTGACCTAGTTTTTCATCCGAGATGACCCATGTTGGAACTCATCCGAGCAAGTACCTAGACAAGCATCCTGATTAAGTCTGATGAAACTTGTGTCAAAAATGTAACCGCTAGAGTGTTAACAAGATTTTTCTATTTTAAGCTCCTGTGACCTAGTTTTTCATCCGAGATGACCCATGTTTGAACTAATCCAAGCTATCATCTAGACAAGCATCCTGACCAAGTTTGATGATGATTGAGGCAAAAAAGTGACCGCTAGAGTGTTAACAAGGTTATTCTATTTTTAGCTACAGTGACCTAGTTTTTCATCCGAGATGATCCATGTTCGATCTCATCCGAGCTATCACATAGACAAGCATCCTGACAAAGTTTGATGATGATTGAGGCAAAAATGTGACCGCTGGAGTGTTAATAAGGTTTTTCTATTTTTAGCTCCAGTGACCTAGTTTTTCATCCAGGATGACCCATGTTCGAACTCATCCGAGCTATCACCGAGACAAGCATCTTGACCAAGTTTGATGATGATTGATGCAAAAATGTGACCTCTACAGTGTTAACAAGGTTTTTCTATTTTTAGCTACAGTGACCTAGTTTTTCATCCGAGATGACCCATGTTCAAACTCATCCGAGCTATCACCTAGACAAGCATCCTGACCAAGTTTGATGATGATTGAGGCAAAAATGTGACCACTAGAGTGTTAACAAGGTTTTTCTATTTTTAGCTCTTGTGACCTAGTTTTTCATCCGAGATGACCCATGTTTGAACTCATCCGAGCTATCAACTAGATAAGCATCCTGACCAAGTTTGATGATGATTGAGGCAAAAATGTGACCGCTAGAGTGTTAACAAGGTTTTTCTATTTTTAGCTCCTGTGACCTAGTTTTTCATCCGAGATGACCCATGTTCAAACTCATCCGAGCTATCAACTAGATAAGCATCCTGACCAAGTTTGATGATGATTGAGGCAAAAATGTGACCGCTAGAGTGTTAACAAGGTTTTTCTATTTTTAGCTCCTGTGACCTAGTTTTTCATCGAGATGACCCATGTTCAAACTCATTCGAGCTATCACCTAGACAAGCATCCTGACAAAGTTTGATGATGATTGAGGCAAAAATGTGACCGCTAGAGTGTTAACAAAGTTTTTCTATTTTTAGCTCCTGTGACCTAGTTTTTCATCCGAGATGACCCATGTTCGAACTCATCCGAGCTATCACCTAGACAAGCATCCTGACCAAGTTTGATGATGATTGAGGCAAAAATGTGACCACTAGAGTGTTAACAAGGTTTTTCTATTTTTAGCTCTTGTGACCTAGTTTTTCATCCGAAATGATCCATGTTCGAACTCATCCGAGCTATCAACTAGATAAGCATCCTAAAAAGTTTAATAATGATTGAGGCAAAAATGTGACCTCTACAGTGTTAACAAGGTTTTTCTATTTTTAGCTCTTGTGACTTAGTTTTTCATCCGAGATGACCCATGTTCAAACTCATCCGAGCTATCAACTAGATAAGCATCCTGACCAAGTTTGATGATGATTGAGGCAAAAATGTGACCGCTAGAGTGTTAACAAGGTTTTTCTATTTTTAGCTCTTGTGACCTAGTTTTTCATCCGAGATGACCCATGTTCGAACTCATCCGAGCTATCACCTAGACAAGCATCCTGACCAAGTTGAATGATGATTGAGGCAAAAATGTGACCGCTAGAGTGTTAATAAGGTTTTTCTATTTTTAGCTACAGTGACCTAGTTTTTCATCCAGGATGACCCATGTTCGAACTCATCCGAGCTATCACCTAGACAAGCATCTTGACTAAGTTTGATGATGATTGAGGCAAAAATGTGACCTCTACAGTGTTAACAAGGTTTTTCTATTTTTAGCTCTTGTGACCTAGTTTTTCATCCGAGATGACCCATGTTCGAACTCATCCGAGCTATTAACTACAAAAGCATCCTGACCAAGTTTGATGATGATTGAGGGAAAAATGTGACAGCTAGAGTGTTAACAAGGTTTTTCTATTTTTAGCTCCGGTGACCTAGTTTTTCATCCGAGATGACCCATGTTCAAACTCATCCGAGCTATCAACTAGATAAGCATCCTGACCAAGTTTGATGATGATTGAGGCAAAAATGTGACCGCTAGAGTGTTAACAAGGTTTTTCTATTTTTAGCTCCAGTGACCTAGTTTTTCATCCGAGATGACCCATGTTCAAACTCATCCGAGCTATCACCTAGACAAGCATCCTGACCAAGTTTGATGATGATTGAGGCAAAAATGTGACCGCTAGAGTGTTAACAAGGTTTTTCTATTTTTAGCTACAGTGACCTAGTTTTTCATCCAGGATGACCCATGTTCAAACTCATCCGAGCTATCACCTAGACAAGCATCTTGACTAAGTTTGATGATGATTGAGGCAAAAATGTGACCTCTACAGTGTTAACAAGGTTTTTCTATTTTTAGCTCTTGTGACCTAGTTTTTCATCCGAGATGACCCATGTTCGAACTCATCCGAGCTATCACCTTGACAAGCATCCTGACCAAGTTTGATGATGATTGAGGCAAAAATGTGACCTCTACAGTGTTAACAAGGTTTTTCTATTTTAAGCTCTTGTGACCTAGTTTTTCATCCGAGATGACCCATGTTCGAACTCATCCGAGCTATCAACTAGATAAGCATCCTGACCAAGTTTGATGATGATTGAGGCAAAAATGCCACCGCTAGAGTGTTAACAACTAAATGTGAACGGACGACGGCCGACGGACAATCATCGATCCTAAAAGCTCACCCTGAGCATGCTCAAGTGAGCTAAAAATAGGAACTGGTATGAATGTCATGTTCTACAAGTGTACCATCTTTATATAAAGATAATATTAGGGTTGATCGCGAAACTGCAGCAACTTATATGAAATACAAAAAGACTTATACAAATGTAACAGTTTTGCAATCAACCCTGCAATAATGAACATGGATACTTACACATTCTACAATTTTGAGAAGACCATTGTATGTTTTTATATAGTCTTTATCAAGCCCTATACCCTCGGAACTTGTTGTTGTTGAAGACTGCTCATATGTTGTAGCCATCCTTTACCAATAATATACAAGTCTCTAACCTGTCAAATAGAAATCATGAAAATAAAATCACAATCCACATGCTTTTAACATAAAGTTATAAAACACAAATATAAAAACAAATTTGTTAACTTGATTTTTACGAATAAAAATAAAACTAATTAACATAACATGACATTAACTGCTAATAATAACAGCTCCTTCCAATAAGGCCAAAAAAAAAGCATTCCATAAGAGACGCTGCCATTCACCGACGTCGCCAACAAGTTGTTTTTACATCTTGGTTTGCTTTAGTTTTCCCATTAAGGTTAAACCCCTTTTGGAGGACATACAAGTACAGTTTTTGCTTTTCCATTAAGGTGAAACTAATTTTGGAGGACATACATTTTCATGAAATTATTTTCACATAATTTAACCCCTCATGAAAATATCTGATTATACAGTACTGAAGATCTTATGTTAAGTTCAAGTATGAAGATTCTATATTGTAAGAATGGACAAGTTATTTATGACTATGGTAAAGACTGATCAAAAATGAACACAGTAGGGAAAATCAATATGTCCCTCTTCTATTATTGATAACAAAAAACACTACAACTTGATCTGTTACATTTATTCTAAAATATTTTGATTAAACACAATTATAACCATCAACTTTTTATATCAACTTAAAGCTACTATCTTATACTCTGTGGTTTGAAAGGGTTTTTAAAAACAGGAAAAAGTCCATTTAAAGATAAATTTACACTATTTTAATAATAAACGCAGGTTTTAATTTACCAAGAAACTAGATAAAAATTACATTTCTTAGCCTTAGAAATACCAGCTTATCAAAATAATATCAGTTTTTTTAACCACTAGTAAAGTAGCTTTGATATCAAGTGTTCCACTTAACAATGAATGCCACTTAAAAAATATGCACGTAAACAATGTGTTAATTTTTGTAATGATATGACATATTCTACTTATAAAATGTATGGCTTTTCACACAAAAAAAACTACACAATGGCCGCAGTAGTTATATATTGATATGATTACACCTTATTTGATCAAGGTGACATTTATAGGTATACACTAAACAAATAGATCATTGTAAATATTGTTCTCTTTGTTTCAATTCAATCAATGTAGAGGAGAAAGTTTTACCATTTGAGCCACGTCATGACAAAACCAACATAATGGGTTTGCGACCAGCATGGATCCAGACCAGCCTGCACATCTGCGCAGTCTGATCAGGATCCATGCTGTTTGCTTACAAATCCTATAACAAGTAGAGAAACTGATAGCGAAAAGCATGGATCCTGATCAGACTGCGCTGATGCGCAGGCTGGTCTGGATCCATGCTGGTCGCAAACCCATTACGTTGGTTTTATCATGATGTGGCTCAAATACACTTAAAATATATACCTTCTATTAAACACACTTACTGACTGGTAGCTTTGTTTATAGGAGCCTTTATCTTAGTGAAAAATTTATTCCTCAGGATACCAAAACAAAGACAAAATCAAAATTTGACCTCAATCAAAATTTCAAGATATTATTTATTTACAGTTTCTTTGATGTTTTAAAGGATTGTTTACTCAAGATGAATTATTATTGTTCAATTGAAACTTTCTTTGTAAACGCTTGTGCATGTGTAAACTATGTATATCAAATATTCAATATCTTATTTTATTAACCATAACATATAGCATATAGCCATCATTACATAATATAGGTAAAGTGTAAGAAATTTTTACAATAAAATGTTCATACTATGGCAGTGTCTATACTAGGATTTGAAAAAAAGGGGGGGGGATTTTTATGGAAAAGTGAGAATTTATAGCATTTGTTAATCTTTTTCCTTCTTTCTCTATGCAAACTTTTATCCCTGCCTCTGAAAAAATAGGGGTGAATTCTCAAAAATATGAGTGAATTTCCCCATCCCTCGTTCTAGAATTAACACTGATATGGTACAAAATGTTTTCTGAGAAGTTATTAACAATATATCTTCATTTAGATTTAGCAATTTACAAATTAAGAAAGTTGACAATCTCTCCATGCTACTAGTGCAGACCAAGATCAGTTATTTCATCAGTGACATCTCATCATGGTCTGCACTGAGAACTTATGTTGAAATTTCCATTAAAATGATGAATGGTATTGTCTGGATTGAAAGATGAACAAGTCCATAAAAGATATTTAGCATGATCAGGGTTGAAATAGTAAGGTGGTAAGCCGAGTTTTTTCCCTTCCCTTTGTCCCCTTATCAGCTGTATCAATGCTGTATAAGCTTAAATAAAAATATTTTGGATATCAAAATTACTTTGAATATTTCTTACTCTGCAGGGCGGAGATATAGTGAAACCATTTAGCAGAGATTCAAACATCTGACTTTCACCACAGTGGGACGCCTTTACCAGGGGTTTGTTATACTGTTACACAGATCATTATCAATTTTAGAAAGTAAGTTAGTAAGTAAGTAACAACTTTAAGGAGGCAACACAGTTGGGCATTTAGGGATATCAAAATAAAAATTTGAAGTTGATCTGTCAACGGTATACAGCCTGGTATAGAGCCTGGTCAGACTACATGCAAATTAAGACTGGCCTGGGCCACCTGGCTCTATACTGGTGGCAAAGGTTTATCACTGTGGTTCCAGCAAGGCGAGGATTAAAACACTGTAATGAATTGACATCAATTGATTTTGGAACTGTTGACTGATGTGAATGTTGTAACTTAAGGGATTAAACTGCTATTATATATTCAAAACATCAGAATAAAGCAAATAACAGTACAGAATCAGATGAAATTGCATACTTGTCCAAATCACCATTGTCACTATTATTCAAATAGGTAACTTTTTTGACATACAGGAGATTAAATTGCACCCAGCCTTAAGGCCACTATGCTCCAAGCATCAAAGCTCTTCAAAAGTTGACTCCCAAAACCTTGTCATGTAAAATACCTGTCTCCCTCACTGACATTTTACACAAAACAATTATAACTTTTACTTAATGAGTTAAACCTTACAAGTTTTACTTTAGGCAATATGACAACATAATAATGTACACTGTACCTTCATATAAAAAGAGAAAGTTTTCTTCATTGTAGAACAGAAGAAAAAAAAACATCATTTATGAAAATTTGCTTTAAAGTAAGCTGTTATATACAATTGTGTACATGTACATTTTGTATGACTGCAGTTTTCCCTTATTTCCAACTCAGTAAATAAATTCAGTGCAGCAATAAATGCATTTTTGTCATAACTTAATACTTAATTACAATTGGACAATATACTTATATCTAGAAATAAACCATAAAATTTTTGTTTTTTATAAACAAACTGTAGGACAAGAAATAAACCATAAAATATGTGTTTTTATAAACAAATTGTGACAGAAGAAGTTTAACATTCACTTATAAGCTGATACCGAAATTCATTTCCTGTGATAACAAATAATACTCGGAAAAGATAACGCAAAGATTTGATGACACTTTTTGTTTCATAAATGTTGGGAGTATTATTAATTATTTTACCACATTGTTGTTGCCATATTATTGTAGTATTGTAGGTGTATATATATTGTAAAATATGATTTTTCTTAAAGGCCCACATGGAAAAGTGGGAAACCAAATGTGTAGCCTCGATCAATCAATCAATCAATCAATCAATCACTTCTTTTAAAACGTTTGGTCATTATAGACATTATTATATATTCTTCAGTGAACATTGCGGACCAAGATTAGCCAACACATTCATGCAGACTGACCAAGGTCTGCACTATTCACAAACCTATAAACATTGTAACAAAAGTTTCATCACTTACATTCTGGAAAATAAACAATACCATGCATGTTTACAATTTAAGTAAAAAAGGTCTCCAAATAAAAAATTAGAAAAATTACTCAATAATAATCTTTTTTTGTTCTAGACTTATATATCATAACCACAGAAACAAGTTAACATAAAGTAAGGAAGATTTTACTTACAACTGGAATTAACTGTAAATATGAGTTATAGGAAGAAAAATATGTAATGGAAGTTATAGGGATAAAATATGAAGAATTAAATCCAAATCAGTCCATGCATGTATAATAAGGTACATCGCCAACAGGGAAGAAATTAAAAGTTGAATGAATGAAATAACACCCTGCTGATACACATACATGAATAGTTTACATTTTAAATGAAGCAGTGAAGGTTGCTAGTGGTAACAAACTGATTGATAATGTTGTTATAATATAATATAGTACACATCACTCACGATAATATGTCTAACTTGAGTAAGGATGATCAATTTGAAAATCCCATCAGTCTCCAGTTTTTCACTATTTAATTTTTGTTACATTTTTGAATTATTTTTTTCTTTTTTTGGGGGGTGGGGGTGTGGGGGGGAGGGTATATGCCACACAACAACACTGTTAAACTGTTATTGCACCTTCCCAGGTTTCATAATGGAAGGACTCCTCAGGCACCCCTCTAAATGCATTATTTCAGGTATACCAATGAACTACTGACCTTTAGTGAAATACTTGGATAGCTCCCTCAGTCACATGAAAGAATTAACAGTATTCAAACCCAGAGCAGCAAGAGACTAGTGGATGTAAACCAGAAAAAACTTAACCACTAGACCACAGCAGCCTCATGTGTTATGTGTTATGTGACACAATGTATACCATTTTAATAATCATATCAATAGCATTGCATAAAGTTACTTGTATTTCATTTTTCTTACTGAATTAGCTTATGGCCAAACTGATAAAATATTTCTAAACATTCAAACATAACAATGTAATAATAAGATCAGCTTATGTCCAAACTAGTGCCACACTTCAAAACATTCAAATGTTACAATCACAATGTAATAATGAGAGTGACAAGTCAAAAATACATCAAAACACATTCCAAGACGAAGTAAACTTTGATAAATGAGTAGCATATGTACTGACAGCAACTTTATCATCAACTTAGTTACACCTCATTAAATATACTGTACATCCGTATACAATCTAACTCATCTTCATTAATGTTGTGTACATGTATTACTTCTACACTTTATTTACTTTTTTCAATCTTTTTATACATTAACTTCTTTCTCACAAAAACTTGTTTAGAAGCAAAGATATTTAATGATATTTAACCCCATAATTATATAGCATAGAAAAAAATTCAACTGTTATTTTTGTTATACATCTCTATATTTCAACAACAACACACAATCAAAGTTGTCTTGGGTGGAAATATTTTAAGATATTAATTTTGGCTGAATTTGCATTATTTATTTATCTTAACCTCATCCCCACATAGATGAGCCGTGTCACGACAAAACCAACATAATGGGTTTGCGACCAGCATGGATCCAGACCAGCCTGCGCATCTGCGCAGTCTGATCAGGATCCATGCTGTTCGCTTACAAACCCTATAACAAGTAGAGAAACTGATAGCGAACAGCATGGATCCTGATCAGACTGCGCGGATGCGCAGGCTGGTCTTGATCCATGCTGGTCGCAAACCCATTATGTTGGTTTTGTCATGACGCGGCTCATATATAAAATATGATATTTTTCACAGAATGCTTAAAGGCACATTAGGTCTCATCAATAAATACATAGTAGTTCTGTTATTCTAATTGCATTAATAATTGATTCAGAACATGCGATATGCTGGTATGCATATCGCATGTGAGAAAATAACAATGAATATGAAATAATTTGTATGAAATGTGGCAAAATGTAAACAAAGTGGTATTTTGACATCTATATAAAATACTACATCACTTTAACTGTACTGATTGCCAAAAAGCAAAAGATAGGTCTGACATAATTATGGACTTTCTGATTACTGCATCTGACAGGACACCAAAAATTTAAAATAAAAAAGCTTTTGAAAAAAATAAAATGATAGCATTCTGAAAGCTTACTGGGCCTTTTAGCCTGATAATTACATGTACATGTATATTAATTGAAACATAACATCAAGTCAAAGTTAATCCTACATTTGGCATATTTGGTGACACTCCCATAAAATTCCTAATTCATTACACCTTTTAACTGTTATCAAAGGATCTATACATTTTATTGTTTGAGTGCATGAAGTTAAAGAACAAAAATAGTTAACAATTATAACATGAAGGTTTTTTTTATCAATATTGTGATAGAGACCTGCTAAGCTAAATTTTACTAATAATTAAACTTGTATGAATTGCTGATTGATTAAAGAGACAAATGATTTATAATTTTTAAATGTACATTTTCTATTTTGAATTTGGAACAGTCCATTACAGAGTAAGCAGATTACACAGACATGGAGATTGGTCTCTAAATTATTTCTTTTGTGTCAAAATTTTAGTAAATTTATTTACAAAAATCACAGTGTGTATGTATAAACCTACAATAGTTTATTACAATATAAATTCATATGATTAGAAGGTCAATATTTATATTTCAATAATGCAACCACTAACCTAAGGATGATGACAGACAAATTCATGTTTTTTGTTGTTGTTTTTTGTTGTTGTTTTTTTTTGGTGGGGGGGGGGGGTTATTATTGCTTTTATTTAACTTTACACAAGTTTAGAAAAATATTGTTACCAATGTATCAAAATAAATTAAAGCTTTCTTAAAAGCAAATTACAATATTATCTATAAATACAAGTACACTTATAACAAATAACACTGTTAGCCACAAAACTTAACATTTTAAAGAAATCTCTAAAAATTTTAAAGGCACCAAATATTATAACTACAACAACCACTACAATCACGTATTTCTGATTTTTTCCTCAAACCCCTTTCTGGTGATCTTGACATAGCCTCTCAAAGTTGCACCTGATATTCTAGTGCCTACTGGTTATGTGAACCACTAATTCAAATTTCAATTGCAAACCATCCCTGTGTATACTGAAATTACCTGGAAGACTAAATAACCTAACAGAAACATTTCCTTTTCAAGCTATAACAAGTAATTAGTTTAACTTTGATGTAAGACGCAACCATGGCCCTTAACGCTCAGCCTCTCCTTGTGATGATCATCTTTTTTTAGTGCCAAAGGCTCAAAATCCATCATCTGGGATTCTGCAGATCTTTGCAGACCCATACTCCACTCTTCCTCCATATGTTTAATTATAATAAACAAAAAAAATATTTTTTCTACAAAATAAAGATTATAGTTAGATTCAATGGCTGCTGGTTTTTATATCAGTTCCATCAGTATTTGAACTATTTCAGGCATCAGTTGGTTAACAATATTCCGATACTTGTGACTTGTAAACCTGTTTTTCACAAGTTACTCAGGAGTTTCATTATCTTTGTAAGAAGATGGGTCATTTCTGAAAGAAGAACTGTACTTGCCAGAATGGAATTCATTATAAAGTAAATAATTGAAAAGTGGTCCATGTAAGATCCATATAGCCTAATGCTCCACATGAAAATACCTAAATACAATGTACTTGAACTAGTATAATATATATGCAACAGCATAGGTAAAATGTAACCACAGACTTCCATCACTGGGGGAATAGCACAAGTTTTGCTTTGAATTTTTAAAACCTATGGTCAAAGTGGCTGACCAGTAGATAGTCAGGCTGTGAATCCCCAATAAAAGACTATCAAGTACACATCCAACAAATCCTGTCACACCAAAGCAAAACCCTATTTATGAGCGCCAAAGGTACAGTGAAAAAACATGACACAACGTAAATAGGGCCTATTTATTTGAATCTTCCTGCTATCCGTCAGCCTTTCTGTCGTCAGAGTAGGTTTCTATGGTTAAAATTCTGGAGCATTACATGTACACATACTTCATAACTTCCTTGCATAAGTGGCAATCACTTGGTTTAGCAATAAACTAGTCCAACTAAAATTCACACACATATGACAGGTAAACCTCGCTGAATTAAATGCACAAGCCCAAAATCAATTTAAAATTTACACTGTAAATAGAGCGGCCATGACAGGAAGTAATTGGCGTCTGATTTCTAGGGGACACAACTAAAGCTGGACTGTAAATTACAGTGTTATTTACAGTCCAGCTTTAGTTGTGTCCCCTAGTTAATCAAACGTCATTACAGTAATGGCTAACTGTTAGTGTTTACACTACATTCATGATTTATAGTTTTCTTTCGAAAGTTTTTCGTTTCTTTTGAATATAATTAGTATTATTGTGAATATAATACATGTTTACATCATTGAATGGCTTTAGAAAAAGATAATTGTTGATATTCATTGAACAGTAAGTAAAAAAATATCAGCGTTATATATAATATGTGGTGGGTGGGGTAATGCGGTAATTTCGCAATGAGCGTTCTAATGAGAGCCTCGTTAGAACGCGGTGGTGAGACATTGGACCCCAACATGAGCGTTTTAATGAGGCTGAAGTGTAATTGAAAAGTGGTCCATGTAAGATCCATATAGCCTAATGCTAAGACCACATGAAAATACCTAAATACAATGTACTTGAACTAGTATAATATATATGCAACAGCATAGGTAAAATGTAACCACAGACTTCCATCACTGGGGGAATAGCACAAGTTTTGCTTTGAATTTTTAAAACCTATGTCAAAGTGGCTGACCAGTAGATAGTCAGGCTGTGATATCCCCAATAAAAGACCTATCACTACACATCCAACAAATCTCCTGTCACACCAAAGCAAAACCTATTGTATTGACAGGAGAGTACAGTAACAGACACAACGTAAATAGGGGCCTATTCAATACATTTCAGAATCTTCCTGCTATCTGTCAGCCTTTCTGTAGTGTCAGAGTAGGTTGGCTATGGTTAAAATTAACTGGAGCATTACATGTACACATACTTCTAACTTCCTTGCATAAGTGGTCAATCACTTGGTTTAGCAAAAAACTAGTCCAACTTATTGCACTGCAAGAGAAGATATTGTGCTATTTTCGTATCTGGACAATATCTCGCCTCTGGAAGTGAGATTCTGACCCAGAACCAGAATATCTCAGAATCAAGCTTTGGCACATCAATACTGTATATTTTGACTAGCAAAAAACATATTATCTTATTGAATTATGGATGGAGCATGAGCTTTCACCAATCTTACAAACTGATTCCATTATATTAAAACAATATATGAAATTATAATTCAATAAATATAAATAACACTTTATCGTCACTTTCAAACATAACCCTCACATTCATTGATTAACTGTGCATACAGATAACAAGTTCAAGCAAAACATAAACTCCATTTTTTTTTCATAAAAAAACTTCTTCAAAATAGCAAAACGTTTTAATATGACATTACCACTAAATAACGAATTTACAAATTTATCTTTTGTCCAACAACAACTAAATCAAAGCCACAGCTCGCGTCTAATGTCAGCAGATTATGAGGAGTTTCTAAAAATAGAAATATTTTTTCCCTAATCGTTTAGAATTTCTGTTTACATTTCAAGTTATTTGCATTTTTTCAACAGAAACACGACTGGCAACCTGAATAGCATGTTTGCAAAATAATTTCCTTATTAAATGGTGACAATGCAAATAATATGTAAAAGTGGACTTCTATGTAAAATTGAAAATATACCTCGAAATTGATTACTAAAATGTCCGAAAATTGTAAATATTCCAACCGGAAGTAGGTAATCAGGAAGCGTTACTCTTGCGGACAGGATAGACATCAAAGTACTTGAATGACTGTAAATCAATTAACCTTGTAATATAATTATTATATAGATTTATTTGATGTAATAACGCAACTTGTATGAAAATATAAAAGTGTGTATTTGATATTAATATTAATTGTAAAGATTTAAAACTAAAAGAAAACATATAGAATCTAAAGCAACTCATCTTATAAGAGTATTGTGAAGATATTTTTTTCCATTCATGAACAAAAATGACAGTTAAAATCTGGCATAACGGTTTGAAAAAAAGTATTACAATTTTGTAGTGAATTCTTCTCCACTGAAACCTCTCTCAGAAAAGATGAAGGACCGTTTTGATTTTAATGATTTTTATTATTCACTCTCTCAAATAAATACAGAATTTGGTAAAGAATTTAGTCTATATATTATCTTGACAACTCTACGACTTGAATAATTTGTAAGAGAATGCGAGATATGCGCACAAATTTGAAAATTCCAATGGATTCTATTAATTATATCAAATATGGCAGAAATATCTGTAACTTCGTAGAAGTGGGAAGTAATTTAATTGAACATTTTTTCAGTACTAACGACAAATCCGATAAAACAAATTTTTCACTAGATTTTATCTCGTTTTGCAGGAGAAACCATCTAACCGCAATTTTCACGTGCATTCAAGGACCAGTAAATTCGTGTTCATGTTATAAAACCTTTCATTGTAATTTTATAGACTTCATGGCAAAAAGAAAAAGACGTTTTCTTAATTTTTCTTAATTTTCGATATGCCTAGAATCCCGCAAAATTTACGCGAACGTGCAAATGGCATGCTTAATGATGGAATAACGATGGATGCCGTCGCTATGTATATTGTATGCTCTACTCGTGCTATTCGTCACCTTAGGCAACGTTTTCAAGAAACAGCGACCATAAAGTGGAAGTCCGCGCGTAGCGACGCGTGCCCAAGACCAATATATTCGGAACACCCACCTGCGCAATCGCTTCGAAACTGCTACAGCTACTGCTGCTAACACCCCCGGTACACATATCAACCTTAAATATGCCATAACAGTGCGCAGTCACTTGCGCGAGGGTGAGCTGCATGGATGTCGACCATGCGTTGGTTGTGTTTTGAGGCGACGTCGCCGCGTAAATCGTGTGAACTGGACATGTCCGCACCAAGATAACTTAGACAATACTGGAATACCTTTCTTTTCTCTGATAGTCGAGGTTTTTCATTCATCGAGTTGATGGCAGGGTTCGAGGATAGAAATGAACGTTAGGCCGACTGCTGCGTACTTGAACGTGATCGTTTTGGGGTGGGTGTCTGGTTAGGCATTGCACATGACTTTCGCTATCGAAGAGAATTTGCATGCCCAACGCTAGGGACACTTAATTTCATCAGGGCGAATAACATTGAATTTGTTTTAATGACTGGCCAGCTAAATTTCATTGAACACCTTTGGGATAATTTGGACCCGCCCTATTCCATTGTCAAACGTCATCCAAGACAAGCCTTACATGCCACAAGCCGAAATCCAACGATGCCAGGCAGTCCTTCATCATACCCAATATTAAATGGGCGACCCCTTCTGCATTTTAACTACCATTTCATTACTTTTGTATAAATCCTCAGCAATATTTTTTCACAAAAAATCGCAATAAAATACTCTTTCAATACACTTTAATCCTGATTTTCATATTTGTGTATATCTGCACTTAAATACAGGGGAATTTTATCTTTTTTTGTTCAGTATACTCGTATACGTTTTGCTGAAAGTAGATTGATTAATTGGCCAAGCGTGCCGGATTAGGTAAATTCGAAGATCATTTGCGCAACAATAGTACGTTTCTGTAGCATATGATGTTATTTTATAATCGTTTTAATTTTCCCGGTATTGTCATTATGGCATAGCATTCTGGCATACTATCTATTCATGGGAGGTAAACATTGCGATTATTTTCACAATAAAAATAAGTAGTTGTCTCCCTTACATTGCAAAAGAGCCATCAATTTTCCATTTGAGATTTATATTACAATATAAATCCGTGATTGAAATGTTTGATAGTATTATATACTGACAATTTTTTTTTAGAATTAACGGATTAAACAAGTTCCAGACAATCTTTTAAAACTTTATCAATATCAGAAAACAGGTGTTGAGAAGCAAGACCTTTTCAAAAATGACAATCTGCTTTGTTAGGGTTTGGCTGGGTTACTGATTTGGACACTATCAATTTAAAGGAATTATTTATTAAATTTGCATATGAGTATTTCTTAGCATTTTGCTTGATTTGTTAGACATTTACCACTTCCATTGTCCAAACTCCTCGAAGTTATTACCTCCCTTTGCAGATTGTTCGCGATGTACATTGATCCAAGGGAAGTAATTGTGGAAAAATATTTTGAAAATTGGCTAGTAGTTTCCTCCCTTGCATTAGTAATTGGTCAAGTTTTTTTATACATATTTGTATTCAAGACTAGTTGTTAATCATATTCTCAAAACATATATTAATCGTTTTTGAGTCCACTTCCTGAAACTAACCAGTACCGGTGTCAAGAGGAAGCATGGATGTGACAAGAGTATAGATCGAACTCACACTGACCATGTTAAGAGGCCGACACCTTTACCACCGGGTCACTACTCCCATCAATGCCATGCTGAACATTTGTGTTCTTGAAATTTTTATTAAATGGTTCACTTGAATCTTTCAATGTGACTAGATGTAACAAATAAAGAACTCATAAAAATAAATAACAAGCATGTTGTATAGTTTTCATATTTTATTATGAAAAAGAAAAAATTCAGATCAGACCAAAGTCCCCAAAAAGTTTGGATGACATGATTTTATACAGGAAACAGAAAAATAAATAGTATACTATGTATTTACATGAAATATCTCCCCCAACAAAGCTAAATCTATGAAAACCAATCTGATATACATGAAATCAGCAATACTATGTGCACAACCCTAACACCCCATAAACTCAGTATCCACTGGAATGTAAAATATTGTTTCATACTTTTCATAATTTGATTAACATATATAATTTATATATATACACATTTCTCATAATGTGTTAACTAAAATAATCTATATATTTGAATCTAGCAACAATTCAAGAAATAATAAAATAAACTTTTTTTTTCACATGCATTTTGCAGGTATTTTAAAGTAAAGCATAACAATTTTTATTCAATAAGCTTTGAGACAAGCATAACAAAAAAGATTTTTTTTCCTCATAAATTTTCAAAGTCATTTAATGTAATTCATTTAATTTGAGCCAAAAATTAATCATTCATAAACAATTCTTTGATTTTTTTCGTGTTAAACTATAAATATAGATCTAACACAAACAAAATAGACGTCAAAACATGAATTGCAAAATAAAATTAAAGAACCAGTCTGTACAAAATAAAGTAGCCAACCAATCAAATAACTTGAAAGAACAGACTTGTTTTCTAGCAACCAATCAAATAACTTGAAATAACAGACTGGTTTTCTAGCACAAAATTACATTTGCATCTCATCACACTGAAAACCAAACAACCTGACATTTCTCTAAGATCAGGGACAATCACCTGTATACATGTAAACAACAATAATAAAAACTAAAGCCTGCCAGTTTTATATACAACCTATTCCTTGAGACATATTCAACTAGAATAAACATAAACTCATTTGTAAATAAAATCATAAAATATATAATCTTTGATTGCATATTAGAGCAATTACATCTGCCCTGAAGTAATCAAAAAGACAGGGAGAAAAATTCCCCTACTACTGTACAACTATTTCATTACAGTAACCTTCAGCCTGCAGCTAATATGTGACCATTGCCTTCTGATCATGGTCTGCACTGTTTGCTTATCAAAACTTCCCTAAAAATGATAAATGGTTTTTTCAAGATAGAACGCTATACAAGTCCATCAAACAAGCAAACAAAAGTTCTCCAATGTAAAGATGTATAAATCTTAACTCCAAAACAATTCTTAGTATTTTCAATTATTTTATATACATAATACATGTACAACAACACTAAAGCTACATTGAGAACGTCATATTATATAAGTTTACTAAGCAAAAACCTTATATCAATATATACATACATTTGTACATCTCAAAATACATGAGCACAAAAATAAATGGTCCCTCAATATACAAGAAACCTAAACAACAATATAATTATCACAGATTTCGATTTAAATCACTGAGAATGATTTTTTACTTCATATTTTGCACTAATGATGTGCTTATTCAAAATCATATACACACTATTTTCCACATGTGATTAATCCTAGCCATTCATACAAAGTCTGTTGCATATTCAAAACAACAACATCAAAAATATCTCACAAAACATTAATGTCAATCAAAAATATGTTATCAATTAAACTCTTGTTATAAACACAACATTCAAGTTTTTAAATGTAAGTTTTTCCAGGGAAACAGTCTTGCACATTCACAACACACTCAATCCTGTCATATTCTTACGTTCACCACTTTCTTTGAGATCTAAATGTGAACCTCAACAAAATCATCATGTTTTATCAATAAATGTAGATAACAAGTAACTTGATCCTCTTTATAAACAATCTACTATATATCATGTACAAAACCTATAAACTTCAATTAAAAAAAAAATATATATATCAAATAAATCAATTAGAGGATTATCAATTACCAATTTTATGTATCAACATAAAGTGTATCATTTTACTTGTAATCAATATTTAAATATTTACGATCCAAACAATCATGAATTATCAACATTTCATTTTATATACTACTAAAAACACCAGCAATAACAGCAGAATCAAATTAAGTAAAAAAAAAAAACAACAACATGGAATGCAACACACATATATTTACAACCTTTCCTTAGTGACAAAGATTATACCAGTATTAAATATAACAACATTTTTCTTCTCCCAACTTCCTTAATGAACGTACCATTATAACATAATTCTTTATGTAATCTTTCTTACATTTAACAAATTCAAAATTAACTTCTTTACAGAATATAAAATTTTTCTGTATTCATGTACTGCCTTAAATAATCACATTTTTTCTTTACCTATTTTTTTTTTACAAAAGAAAAATCAAGCTACCAGGATGCCTATCAAATTTAGCAGCAACATTAACAGTATAAATCTATGTTTCATAAAGCTTTATCATAAATCTTGAAACAACCATTTAAATAACATTGATAACAAATAATTTTCAAAAACATAATGTCATGACCAAACATGTTCTGAACACAAGTTTTAATTTCTCTAGAGCATCCCCTGTGTTTGTCCGAGACTAGTTTGACCTTTGGCATCTACAAAGCCGAGATGGATAAACATGTAATAAAAGGTTACTTTACGAGGCTTCTGCGAGACCGAGATATTTCGCCGCAGTTTTAGAGTCGGCAGAATCTAGCATTTGCTCAATGGCGGCCGATTCTACTCCGAGAAGATTATGTAACATGTCTGCACTGCAGTCAAAGAACTCTTTCTTCACGCTATCTAGAGATGATGGAGTGGTTTTTGGTGACTTGCGAGATGTGTCCTGAAAAATTATGAATTATTTTTTTCTTAATGTTATAGTATAAAAGTTTTCACATTGAAAATAATAAAACTTATTAAGTAAAAGTAAGACATGAAAATTCCTTACACAAGATGTTAATGTTAAGTTTGAAGTTAACTGTTTTTCACTTTGATAACTTTAAAATGGATCAACTATTCAGGAGCTTATATCAGAAAACTCCACCTTTCAAAAAGGAACAACCAATCAGGTGTTTATATCAGCAAAATACCATCTATATATCTGAATGTTTAAATAAAATTGTACAAAAGTTCTTCAATTTACCTTAGATGTACCAGGTACAGCACTGGTTTGAGCCAGAGAACCTATGTGTGATCCACCAAGAACCATTTGTCCACCACTGAGCCCTTGAGAGAAGAGGTAAGTACTAGTTGAGGAAGGCACACCTTCAGTCTGGGTAGAGGAGTATGGGTAAATTGTCACGTTGCGACTTGGTGTCGATTTAGCAGATCGTGAACCTGTAACAAAAATTAAAATCAATATTATAGTTAATTGAAGAATAAATTCTTTTTAATCAAAACATAAATCGTGAAATGTCAAAACTGTAGACCAACTAGGTTTCTTTTTATTCAAAGACTACCTACTGGAGCCCTCCACTGTGTCACATATATATACAAATGTAGTTATAATATGAATCATATTAATAACATATTATTTATTATATCGCTTCCCATCTTTATGCCTTTTTAAAAACGCATGACATATTTAAAATTTGTTTAGTACAAATTTGAAATTTCATTTATTAAAAGAAACCAAAGTTGTTTCTATTTTTTATAAACCACATATTTCTCGCCATAAATGACAAAATTTTACCTCTGTCGTCAACTCCATTAGAATCATCGTCATCATCGAATATCCTAGGTGGCGCTCCGGCATGCTTCTTGCGATGTCTCATCATACTGTGCTTTAACGTGAACCGTTTTTGACAGATGTCGCATTCAAATGGTCGCTCTCCTGTAACACAATATAAAATATGTATAATCATAATGTACATTATCATACTGCATACGCCTTGCATTTATAATAACGGAAACAAAATTTACTTTTCTGTCAAAACATGTCACATGTCTGTAGAACTTATAAAAAATCTAATTTCCCTCCTTAGCAGTATTATCATATTCTAATGAATTAAAAACAATAAAATATCAACAAAATAAAACAAAAATAAAACAGTCTCTTAGGGAGGAAAATGAAAATTTAACATCAATTAAACTGTCAGGAATATTAATGTGCAGATGTCCTGGGTATCATAAAAGGTTACAAGTAATATACAAAATGTGATTGTTTACTGCACTCATTACTATTTCATTGGGTTGATCTATATGAAAAGTCTGTCTCAACATGTTTGTTGTTGTCAGTGCTTAATTGTAAGATATTGAGGATAATTGTTTTTTGTTTTGTTTTTTGTACGATTATAAGTCATATCAACACTGTAAAGGTCAAGACCTTTGGTGTCTCTTTATACATTATTTCAGACAAAAAGTGGACACATGATTGGACCCACCCACCTTTTAGAAGCTTATTTAGAAAATAAATAAAGAAGAAACTATGTATACCTGTATGTGATCTCATGTGTCGTCTCAGATCTTGAAGAGACCAGAATCTCTTTGGACACAATGAACAGTACACCTTCCTCTGCATGTAGTCTGCTGAGATCACTTCCATCTTGCTCTCGTCACTTCCGGTGCCCGGGATCTCCAGCAAAGAGCCGGTATCCAGCTTGTTGCAATTGTTCTCTACAACCTTATCCATGTGGACGGAAAATTGTTCAATTTCCATGACTTTATTTTTCTCTTTCAGTATCTTCCAGTCGGAGTCGTGAGCGTTAGCTTGATGATTCAGACAGTCTACTCTTGATTCGTACGAGGCATCGCAAAGGTAGCATTTGAATGGCAGATCAATGTTGTGTTCTTTAAGATGACGTACCAGCACTTTTCTTGACGGAAACATTTCCTTACACTTCCAGCATTCTGTAATCTTGTCAACATCGTAATTATCTCGCTCAGGGTTAATTATTCTCTCAGCAGACCCAGTAAAAGGTTTGCTGGGATCAAGCAATGTTTCCTGACTGATTTCAAATGGAATGGGTGAAACGGAGTCGGACAAAGTTTCGGGCTTTCGCTGCATATCAATCTGAGCTCGAATCTCTGCTTGAATCTTCATCTCCATTTTAGCTTTCTGTTCAATGATAGCCTTCTGCTCTGCAATGATTTTCTCAATATTTTTCTTCATGGTAGTTAGGTCAGGACTGGATGAATTTTGGTGCTCGTCAATTTCAAGATTTCTTTCAAAACCATCACTTGAGGTGTCCTCAACATTCTGAATCTTTTGCAGATCTGGCATGGCCATTAACAGGTGCGGGGCTATCTTCATACCCTCATGTTCGGCTGCTACAGGTTTCTTCTCAATAGATGGCAGCTGATCATTTTTCTCAAGTTTTTCATGTACATTTTCTGTCCTCTGCACCTCATCTGCAGCTTCAATCTCAGTTGTAAAAGATGCTGAGTCATCATCCATTTTCTCTGAAGAATCAACACTATTGTCCAGGTCTTCCTCAAACTCTTCTGTGTTCATATTGAGGCTTGACGAGTCTTCTGCTTTCGGAGGATTTTCTCTCGCCCTGATTTCCATCTCTAAAGTCGCAGCCTTGATGGCAGTCGGAGACATTCTTTCAATGTCAGCAATATTTTCCGGCAAGTTAGCGCCATTATGACGATCTCTATAATGCTTCAGCAAATTACCTAAAATAATAATAACGATATTCATATAGACACTGACTTCCTCTAAATACATTTTAAAGATATTTATAAACAGAAATTATTTTTTGTTTTAAATAGACATTGAAACCTAATGAAACAAAGGATTATATTTCTACAAAATTATTAAGTATCAAAATGTCTATTGTTCTACGATTCCTATAGTTAAGTATAAAAAATAAATATTTAACTTACTTTGTGTAGAGAATGAGCTGAATACACATAGAGGACACTTGTAAGGTCTATCCATCGTTTGGCGAGATAGAGGGTCCAACATGTTCACACCATGTTTACGGATCAAATGGCGTTCACGATTCGATTTAGTTGAGAAAGTCACTGGACATCGTGGGCATTTGAAAGGTTTCTGACCTAAAAAGTAACAATAATGGTACATTTTAATACCAAATCAAGTTTCTAAATAAAATACCGTTCCCAAATAGAAGATATTCACATGAAAAATATCCTGAACAAAATCTTAGGCTACAATCTTGATATCCATCATTGATTCAAATACTATTGAAACATGTTTTACAATATTTGTGCCCTAACCTACATGTATGTCCGTTTCGAAGGTGATTGTAACTTTCATTCCAGCAGGGTAAATATTACAGAACAGAAAATGATTACATTACAGTTGTGAAGAACAGGTAATTTGTAATCAAGAATGAATTAGCTATACCTGTATGAGTAAGAAGATGCCTGGTGAGTGAACTGACCCATGGGAATGCACGCGGGCAGTATGGACAAGCAAGCTTGTGTGGAGAATCTGCGTACGAGTTCCTTTTCTTTTTTGGTGGCGCATTATCTCCCTTTTCACTGTCCGACTTCATGGCTCCAGATATCGACCCATCGCCAGAGTTATCATCATTTAACTGTAATCAAAGATGTCAAAACATGAAACAACTGTGCCATCTTTATAGATTCATCATTTTTTAAAATTCTCCAAAAAAAGAATAACATATTAATACCTAATGTTTACTTTTAAAATATATATACATTCTAAAATCAAGACACATCTGACAAAGTTTTGCTTCTTTTAAAGGTTTAAGAAATCAAATTTTGTCTTACCTCCCCTTGTCCATCCATAATCTGGCCCACTAGAGGGCTCTGAGCTGCTGAACATCCTGTACTTCCTGTTCCTGTCACTGGTCCCTGGTTTACCACTTCCTCTTTCACAGACAACGCCATCTCTCGAACTTGTGACAATGCTGCCTCATCTACGTCACCTTCTCGCTGAAGATTATCTAACTCTCGGTTAATTGCCTTGCAATGCTCTAGAGAAATCTGTACTCCTGGTCGCTTACTGATATTTGAAGGCCGGGCCACAGCTGAACCCTTAAGAGAACTAACTGGTGATTGTTCAGCCTTGAAAAACGCTTGAAAATTAAGTTGGTCTGTGGCATCAATCATCTTTGTCACTGAGGCAAGGTCGCTATCTATACCTGTAAACATATCATAGTCCGTGTAAAAACAACTATTTATACCATGGCTGATGTATAGAAACCTTCATAATCATCATAAATTTGCCGTAACACTGATCTTTATTAGAACTAAACAAATTTATAAAGATTATTAAAAAGGCATCAGTCACTCTACAAACTTCATAATTTTCTCAATAAAAAGGCAACAATTTTTTTTCTTTTTAATAAAATCAGAAATTAGATCAGCCATCAAAATCATTGTAGCTATAAGAATAAAAGGCTCATGCCACATTAAAAAATATATTTGGAAACCACTGAAGTAAAGACTTGCACATTGTTCGACACTGTAAATCTAAATCGGCAGCCCCAATTGTTACAACTGTATATAGTTTTAAAAATAAAAGAATGACAAAAACAACATTTTCACTACCAAGAAAACAAAATTATCATAATAGCAAAATAGATTTACAGTTCTTCATGAAAACAAACACTCTAAATAAACAACAATTACAACTCAGAAAGGCTAAAAATAACATTTTTGTTCACTTTTCAAAGAAAGTAAACAAATGTATATAAACATGAAATAAACAAGAATAGAAGTAAACAAAATAACGCAAAAGAAAGTGTGTTTTTTTCTTAAGGGCACAATTATACTTACTTCTTAACATCCGACATCTTTTATAAATATATCAGCGTGATAAGAACTCGTTATACATACATGTATTATATTCATTAAAAGTTGATAAATTTGGCTACGCAACAAGTTACCTTAAAGGTACAAAGGAACTTAACTCTACAATGATTTGCCAATTTAATTTTTTCTTTGATAACTTTTTACATGCAATTTTCTTTTTTTTAAATTTACTAAATTTTTTTACATTGAATAAAGTTTTTTCCGTCATTTTGACATAGTAAAATCTTATGACATAAACTTTATACATTTTGATATTATGTTCGTAAAAAATTAGCATTAAATAAAATGCTTTTATTTACCTGGCGTGCTTTCTTTTTTCTGTTTAAGTTTGTCATGAAGATTTTGTATGGTAGCTGACACAGATTTATTCCGGTGCGGGGTTGAATACCGGCTCATGTTACTAGAATGTAAAGCCGGTTTATTCTGGTTGAGCTGGTATCCAGCAACGCTTTGTAAGGCTCGTGGGGGCAAGAGTAACTTCCCTTGTTGGTTAAGGAATGGTATTGCAGCTAGCTGTGTGGAAATTGCGGGATTGTCATTAACAAACTTTGCATGAGCTTTATGTAAATGGCGTTCCATAGCTCCAGGATCAGAATATCCCATAGGGCAGTACATACACTGAATAAAATTCATTGGCTGAAAAAGACAAATTAAATTTGAAAAACTTGTAGAAAACTTATTATTCAAATATATTACATCTAATTTTCTTCTGTATTGTTTTACTTACAACTATTAAATTTTATTAGTTTCAAATTACTTTCACTATTTTTTCAATATATATTTACAATATCTTTCAAAAACCTTTTACTATATCCATTTTAAGGAAATTCAACTAAGGTAAAAAAACTAATGTTAGCTATGCATACCTTTGGAGCAATAGGGATAGGGATAACACCCTTCTTAACTGAGAGATCAATTGGTGTTTCATCAGACGAGCTCTTCACAGGAACTGACTCGTTCATCGATACTTCCATTTTGATTGCATCAGAGCTGGGTTTCATACTGAAATCTAGTGGCGTATCTGCTCTATCAACTGGTTCTGATTTGATCACAAGTGGACTTACAGCTGGCGATATGTGAGAAAGAGGCGATACATGGCGATTCGGTGAAATATGTCGGCTTTCCCGACCTAGTAACGCTTCTGGTTTTGGTGTGGAATGAGCAGCAGGAGGCTGAGGTGTGCTGTTATTGGATCGGCAATTATACAGAATCTTTGAATCATCAGTGTACAGTGGAATACCGTCATCTGAGTTGACAGACTCGTTATCAGTATCATCATTCATGAAATGTTCGTTGACTTTGACATAATTCTCTGTCTGATTGTTATTAACTTCCGGATGTTGCTTCTGAACGTGACGTAGACAGTTCAACTTTGTGCAGAACCCCATATCGCACAGCTGGCACTGGAACGGTTTCTGTCGACAGCTATCATGGGATCGTAAGTGATTCTTCAGAGCTCGGAAAAACTTAAAGTCAACGCCACAGTACTTGCAGATGGTGTCAGGGGAATGAAAGTTGTCGATGGACGATGACGCATCGAGGGCAAACTTGTTAAGGTATATAGATCTCTCCATTTCGTTCCTGTCCATGATACTGTGCTTCTTTCTGTAAATATAATATAGTCATACCTTTTACTGTATATCAAATCTATTTTCAATTGATATAATTGATAATGCATAGTACATTACAATATAATAAGCAATACCTGTATATTAAAATTTAACACTGATCACTATCTTTCAAAATTTATCAAAAAAGTAGCAATTTCGGCCAGTCATATTTAAACAATGATGGAGTATCATATTTACCTAAGATGCCTTTCACAGTTGGCTCGGGTGGTAAAAGCAAAGTCACAAATGAGACATTGGAATGGGCGTACACCACTGTGGGTCCTCACATGGCGGATCAGAGAGCTCTTATCTGCACTGGAGTACACACAAAGGTTACATTGGTATGGCGAGAATCCCAAATGTGTCCGGATATGCGCTGTAAAGAAATCATTCATTCTTTAATTATTTAAATATAAAACAATTTTCACCTTAAAAATCAATCAGTATCATTATCTCTTCAAAAAAAATCTCACAACAATTTTTTGAAGTATCAGTTCACAGATGAAACTGTTCAGTAGAATAAAGGAAACCAAATATTACATATTGAGCAAACTTCTTAATTACTTTATTGAAATTTGTTTTTCTTAACATTTTTAGCACTATATGTTCATCTTGCCAAACAAATCCAAAATTTTACAACATTTACCATTTTTTTACTGTATATTTCATGCTTCTCATACTTATCAACATAAAACATATTCTCATACTTAACACTACAAAATAAAATATTTCTATATGCCATGCTTTAACATGACTCTCATGCCCATGTAAATAACAGATTCACAAAAATATACAATCTAACATGCTTCAATATTTCCAGAAAGAATATATTTTCACTTTCACAAACTGAAAACTTAATTTTTCACAATTCAATATATAACACCACAATACAGAAAATTTTACAAATCAAAATAAAAAACAGTAATTCCATGATTCATAAACTGTTCATTTACTTACATTTGCTTCACCATTTCACTGAAAATGTAGTACTTTGGTGACTAGTGGACATTATTATACAAAGAAATAGTAAGACAATTACATAAAGGACTAATTTACAAGAAATAACATTTGTAAAAATGCCCGAAGTGTCTTTGTAATTAATTTCATGTTTTTAATTGAAATATAAAAGGATATTTACCTTTCAAAGTCTTGTAGCTTGTGAATGTGTTATCACAATATTTACACGGGAACGCTCCACCGGAATTCATCATTTTAATCTCAGTAATCTCTCGTTCCGGTCCACCGAGAAGCGGTCCTTCGCGTCCAAGCTGAACATCCATTGGACTAGACAAAGCATGAGCCGGTTTTGGTGTTGAGGTCGCCATACTGGCAGATGGCGTGTAACCGGACTGGGGTTTGGACGGTGAGGAATGAGCGGGCATATGTCCGGCAGAAAGACCTTTCATGAGTAGATTTGGGCCCATACTTGGCAACATGTTCATGTTGGTAGCGACCTGCAACATTTTGTGGAAGTCATCTAACGTTGGCTGGTAACCAGGAGGAAACATCGGAAACTGACCGAACATTGGCGGAACTCCCGGAGTGAACACTTGACCTAATTTTGCATAGTAATCTTTGTTGATATTCTTCTCCACTGGGACAGGTTTTGGTGTTTCCTTCTTTGGTGGCGCAGGTGACGACTGTTTCTGGTCTGACTTTTCTTCATCGTCTTTCAACAAGAACATGGCAAGAAAGTCGTGTTTTGTGAGACGTTCCGGTTCAAGATCACTGTCGCCTTTCTCATTTTTTGCTGATGGACGGATATCTTCAAAAGCCTTATCAGCTAAGTGTTTCAGCATATGTGCATGAAATTCATTAACATCTGCGTAATCGCACTCACATATTGGACACTGAGTGCATTTATCTTTGGTATGAGAATATGTGTGTAAGATCAAACTCGACTCACACGGGAATGCCTTTGAGCAAATGTTACAAATAAAGTTTAAGTACATACTACTAGTTGTCCTGGCATTCTTTTCAAAATAATGCTTTGCTATGAGAGGAAATTTCTCCACGGAGAAATCAACAAATGTGAGATCATTGAAGCCGACTTTAACCTCTGTTTCTTCTTTCACCTCCGGCATTTCCTTTTCTACAGCGCATTCTAGATTCATCTCCTCCTTGACCTTCTCTGTATGAGCTATCAGGCGATGAAGGCGGAGTTTACGAGGATTTTTGAAAGTGAGGTCGCAGAGTGAACAGTGACTCTGATAGTTTGGATGGGACTCGAGGTGCGACTCTAGGCCGTATTTACATAGAAAAGTCTTCGGACACGCAGGACAGTGCAGGACTTCTTTATCTTCTCTTTCCTTACTCTGAAATATTTCAACATTAAAAATCTAAAACTAGGCAATAAAGTTTTAGAATAAATTCCCTTAATCAATAACAGAAAAAGATTAATAATTATGATTACTAAGACATCATAAAATTTAAACTAATCAATATATAGAGTTTTTCAATTTGTTTCTGGTTCTCTTTAATAACATTTTAAGATGGTATTGATTTAAAAATGTAAAAACCACAATTTATCTTAATTTGGCTAATACAAAAAATTTTAATTACAGGGGAAAAAAAAGAAAAAAATTTCCTACAAACCTCTTCTAGCTTTTCGTCCTGACTTTCGTCCTCCTGACTGCTGGGGATTATGGGATAGCTGAACTTGCGAGGTGACGAGCTACTCACATCACTGTCGCTACCCAATGATTGTCGTTTAAACGGAATCTGCCAATCAGCTGCAAGGTCACTACCACTGAACTGACGTTTCATTCCTGGAACTAATGAGGGGATAACCTCGCTGGGACGGCCAAACACCGACTGCTGCGAGTGGTTTGGTAGATTCTTTAAGATATCCTGAGCCATTCCACTCTGAAACGATTTCATACGATCGCCAACGGGTGAATTTGATTGGCTTAAAAAGTTACTAATTCTTTGCCTCCAGGCAGATTTGCCTCTACGTATTTGACTATACTGATTACCAATTGACTTTAGGTTTTCTTCTTTGGTATGGATACGCGAATGTCTGTGCATGTTTCCATTGGTTGTAAAAGACATGTTACATACTTTACACAGGAACGGCCTTTCTCCTGAAACATATATAATTACTCATTTTATAAACAATGTTACTTTTTGTAAATAGAATAGACATTTAATAAGATTAATACATATTCAAGTATATCACTAAACTTAAAACATTAATACGGTAAGCTACATCTATAGACATTACCTTTTGTACTTTTTTAATTGGTCTTATTTCTGAGTTACTTGTTCCAAAAGTAATTATACACTTAATAAACATTTAACTTCTTAACCATTTATTGGAAGACATCAAAATTCTTCTTTTCTTTTTTTAATTAATTAATTAATTATTATATATATTAATATTCTTATATTTCATTAATTGAGCTGTAATTGATTTTTTATCTTACCTGAATGAACAAGCATGTGCCTGTCAAGGGAACTCTGTGAACTGAGGATTTTGCCGCAGATTTTACACGAGTTTGACTGTGACCCGGATACTGGTGTATTATGGGAACGTATATGAACAGTTAAATCATGCAGATTTACTAATGATACGTTACAAACTGGACAGATGAATTTCTCGCCGTCTTCATCAGAAACTGGTAAAATCTGAAACAAACAAATAAATTATCAAAATCAAAAACTACTTAAATTATAAAAAGAATTGAAATTAACTAAATTGTAAATAACGTGTATGCACAAATAATAAAATTCAGTGTCGTGAACAGGATAAAAGTGTCTCACGTGTCTCAGTCACCACAAAATGTTACAGATTAAGTTTTTTTTTACCTATTTACCTATACACTTTCAAGATTTGTTAAAGAAATAAATCATTCTTTACCTTGCCAACAATTCAATGACCTATCATTTACAAAGAATCATATATACATAATTATAAATCATTTCTTAAATTATCAATAATCAATATTTTTTACAGCCAATTACATCAACCAATCATACTTTAAAATACCAGGAAGTGACAGTCCTTGTTGCTAAGCAACCAAGTAAAAATGTCAAATCAAGTGTCAGAAGTACCTGTCAATCAAGAATGGTGTAATTAACACCTGTTGCTGTAACATTTCAACAGGTACTTGTCACTTTGCCCTAATTACTGCTATAGAGATGCCAATATCTACTCAATTTACCCTAATTTGTAAATATTGTGTATTACATCTAAACTAATTACATTTATTGAAAGGCTATATTTAGCATGTTTCACTTTTTCCATGTTATTTATGTTCTTAAAATTATGGTTTCTTTCAATTTTAAGTCCTTAAAATTATTAACTATCAATTAAATTTTATTGTTTCATTAAATGTTGATTAAGTAGTCAACTCAATTAATACACAAAAGTTTGATGTTTAAATAACTTTTTATTAGAAAACCTTATATTGAATACTAAAATTAAGTCCAGATTAAATATAAGTTCCTTTGATTTGATTCACAAAAATTCAACTTACACCATAAGAATACCCTATTTCACCAGCCTCCAAAATTCACATAAACTTAACAAGGTTTGACTAAATTCCACACCTTTTCTTACAAAACAAAATCCCTATTCACAAACCAAAGTTTCAATGTCAACATGACAAGTTCATGAAAAAATTTCAATTTAGGTCCATCACTTGAGAACTGTTGCTAGATTTTTGTCCGAAATAGTTGAATAGAAATGACCACAATGACATAGGCAATGTGTTAATTGTCTATTGAAAGGTCCAACTGATAACATGTTTACAGATTACTATGTTTGGACATGTGAAGGTTTTACAACCCTCGAGCCATTTCTAAACCTTGCACATTACAATAGAAGATGCTGAAATTTTATTGTACAATAATTTTATGACAAATACTTGATAAGTCTGTCTGGCAACATGCTCAAACTGTGTGTCACATCATAAAAACAAAATGTCAAACTTTTATCCCATTGAGCTTTATCTAGCTTTCAATACTATCTATATCAGAATACTGCCAACCCCATACTGTGTTTAACTTGTTAGTCACATTTCTTCTCCTCAAAAAAAAAAAAAATATTAAAAAATAAAAATTTCAAACATGCTTTTTATCAGATGATATAATTGATGAACATCCATCACTTACCATTGTAACCCTTTTAACAACCTAAGTTTGATCACATTTTAATATTAATTTTTAATTAATTTTCCCTATAACATGACTGTGCTCTTTGACTCAAATTAATTTTAATCATTTAATACACTCAATATCCTTCTGCGAGGATGAGTTTAAATATATAGCTACCTTTTTAACATTTTAAATTTTCAACAATTTATCTACAATATCTATTTTCAATATACGCAAAACAGTAACTTAAAATATATCATAAACATCTTACATGCTCAAAGAAAACTTTTTATAGTATTTTGTAAACATTACATTACCAGTACTGTACAAATTTATCTTTTTTTATCATCAACCATCCAAAAAAGAAAACAAACATTGTTTGTTACATCACATATTTTACCATAAATAAAGATGATATAATATTTAAACATGTTTACAATTAGTAAATTACAATTAAAATCATCTTGTTTTTTGAAGCCTGAAGCTAAATTATTCACTGCTGAAAAAAATTGATAGCACCTGTCAGTTTCTTAATTGATGACCACAAAATCAATCCACTTATATTTACATCAACTTACCACGTACAGTATCTTTGAATTACTGGCTGTATAAAAATATTTCTTTCGTTAAACTTTCAAAAAAATTTTACTGGCATTTTCCAGCATTTACTTCCATTTATTTTCCCTTTACTTTTTTATTTTTTATTTCAATTCTTTAAGTCAATACAACTATTTACAAAGCACAAAAAAAACTTCAATTCTGTAACAATAATTTCATCTATTAGCAAACTATCTAAATTAATCATAAAATCTAATTGACTTCTCCTAAAACTGATGTTTCCTAAAATTAAAGTTTCAACAAGTTTAAAATAATTTTATGAATTTAAAATTTTAATTTTACCTCAATTATCTTTCGGTCTCAGACCTCCACCGAGGTTACATCTATCCTTATAAAAATACTGACCGTTCTTAAATGACCACAACAATTACAATGACTAACCTCTGTAACAAAGTGACCCGCCTCTCTGAAAACTGACCACCCAATGACCAGTACCTTATTCTCCACTATTGTAACCAATAAATTATAACAGTAAAATCTATTTCTCTATTACCTTTGCCAATTGTGTCATTTTATCATGTAAGTGAAATTGAATAAATATAAAGGTGTGATATCCAAGAGAGAATGTGACACTTTCAAGTCCCTTTCTGATTCTGAATAACTAGAACAGAATCCAGGGCAATATATTGTCCAAGTTACCTTTTCATGTTCAAACACACAAATTACCCCCCATCCAAAATAATTAACACCCCATCAAATATTTGGCATATATTTCTATAGTGTTAACAAATACTGTAAAAATCTTCTAATAGGTATTGTTGATGAAACATATCAACAATTGTAAAGGTGAATTATCACAGTTTTTGATGTCATCAGATTATTTTATTGTGTGTTAAACATCTCCATTCACGTCCTAACTTGACCAATGGTCAGTGTTGTTTGTTACAGAACCAATTGCAAATTACATCAACTTTGATCCTTAATATAAAGTACCCTTAAATCTTTTCTTGTACAATTAGCAAAACTAAAGTATTTTGTGACCGGTATTCTTTTGTGATAATTTTATCTGATCAACATAATTATCATACAATACATTTATTATCTTTTAAGTGAAAGAACATCAATAAAGTTGCATTTTACTATGTCATATAATGAAATACATTGTAATTTTCACTCTACTACTTGAAAGAATAAGTTCTGGCTTATAAAAAATAAATTACAAAAATTGCTAAAATTTTATTTTCGAATTAATTTTGATTTTGTAAATTATTGCAATTTTCTTCTTGTAAATTACTTTGATTTTGGAATTTATAAATCATTAAAATTAATTCTATTTGTACAAAATCAATTATTTGATTGTGTGTAAAGTCAATTTCGTTCACATTCATTTTTTTGCTTTTTAACATAAATTATTGTTTTCACTTGATACATTTCTGATACTGCAAAATTTCAAAAATTCATATTTTTTTCATTTAATATAGTGCAGTATGATAACATACCTTTTGGCGCTTTCATAATACAGCGAAGCTAGATAACGATTAAGGAGTTTGTGAAGTACATGTACATGTATCTATATAACAATCACCCTCTCTTAACTTTAACATAAAATCCAAGCAGCAGTTAAAAGTTTAAAACAACATCTTTTAACAATTGCGAACGTTAATTAATTATGACAAATCATTAGCTATAACAAGCTGTAAAATTAAACTTCGTAACCTTGTGTACCATAAAAGCTTGTAAATTACCAACATTAAACATCTCAACTTATATTATATCAGCATTCTCGCAATAAAATAATCAAAATATACAAATAATTCTTACATGAGAATATTTTTTGTTTTGTTTTTAGCATAAAGAAAGAAGGAATCACTTGCTGAACATTGTTTATAACGAAGTTACCTTAAAATAATTAATAAAAGTACTGCATCAGTATTCAATACACTTCACGTCATAATGCACATTTTTTGACATTGAACCTTAAAGTTTGTTAATCCAATTAACCTTTAAACGTGAGTATATATACTTTCCAACATACTTATATATAGATATATACATGAGTATATAACTTAAAATGTGAGTATGTATCATATAAAAAATCACATCCTGTAATCTAAGCAGGATAATTACTTAACGCAATTATTATTTAATGATTATTTTAATATGTAAAATTCAAGTCGCCTTATAAAAAAAAAAAAGGATCTATATTCCAGTTGCAGGTGGACAGTGAGTTTTACTTGGATTGTAAGTCACACTACTCATGAAATGGTTACATAATGATTTTTTTTCAACATTTATTGCAGGGTGAGGGTGGGGGGGGGGGGGGGGGGGGGGGGGGGGGGGGGGGGGAAAGAGACCCATAATGTCTTTCAGACAAGAACTTAGATACCAGAGTAAAAGAGTAGTCACGGTGAAATCTGCTGGAACAGACAGTGATTATCCAGTGTTTTTTCTCACTTTATTGGGAAGAGGCCTTAGCCTTTTGATTTTGGGAAAAATTTATAATCGCTAAATTTGCTGATTTGGGAAGTAAAAAAGCTGGTTTAAGTTAAGATTTTTGGGAAAACTGCATGATTTTAAAGAAAATTTCAATTGGGAAGAGGCCTTTTTTCAGAGTCTGTTATATAAGTAGTAAAATCACTGTTATCTTATACTACACGTATAGAGACCACCTGTATAGCACTGGACCTGGCAGCTAGCACGTACGTATAGTCTGCCCGGTCACTTTGCCGTGGGTAGCTTAATTTTTGTATTTTAGTACTGAAATCCTTTAAAACTTGGAATTCAAAGCAGGACAAATCCATTACAAAAATTTTGGCAGATTGAGGGTTATTTTTTTTTTTTTAAGCAAAAGAGGGAGGTAAAAATAGTAGCTGGTCATGTGACTTGGATTGAAGAGACTGGTTTACTGTATACAATGATTAATTAAGATGACATTTATACCAGTCTAGATTGATCTAGCGACATTGATGAAT